ACCAGAGTCGCAACCAGCTCCACATAGTTTTCGACCTTGTGATTGCCCAGGAAGCCACGAACCACTGCGACAAAGCTGTTCCAAGTCACTTTCTCCTTACTAGTGAGCTTCTTGGGGAATGCATTGCACTCCATGATCTTCTGTACCTGTGGTCCGACGAAGACACTGGCTTTGACCTTTGCCTCAGACAGCTTAGGGAAGAAGTCTTGAAGTTACTTCAAGGCTGCTGACTCCTTATTTACAGCTCTGACAAATTGTTTCATAAGGCTCAATTTGATGTGCAGTGGTCGCATCAGCACCTTCCGGGGTTCCACCAGTGGCTCCCACCTGACGTTGTTCCTCCCCACAGAGAGCTCGGTCCGCTGTGGCCAGTCCAGCCTGTGGTAGTGCGCCTTGGTGTCCCTGCTGTCCCAAAGGCAAAGATAGCAGGGAAACTTGGTAAAATCGCCTTGGAGACCCATCAGGGATGCCACCATTTTAAAGTCTCCAATGACCTCCCAGCCGTACTCATCATACTTCAAGGCGTCCAGCAATGTCTTGATGCTGTTGTAATCCTCTTTGAGGTGGACTGAGTGAGCCAGGGGAAGAGACGGGTACTTGTTACCATTATGGAGCAGCACGACTTTGAGGCTCCTGGATGAGCTGTCAATGAAGAGGTGCCACTCATTTTGGTTACAGGCGATTCCGATTGCCTCGAACAGACTAGTCACATTGTGGCAGAAGCAACGCCCATCTTGACGGGTGAAAAAACTGCAAAAAGGCTGGTGACGCTTCCTCTGATCTGCGACTTGCACACTTTCATCTAACAAGTTCCACTGCTTGAGCCTAGACATCAAAAGCTCGGCATTGGACTTGGTGAGACCAAGATCTCTGATCAAGTCGAGATCTTTTTGGTTGGGGTAGTATGGGTTTCTCTCCTCAGCTCCACCTCTGAAATTGTCATCTGGATCTACAACGTCTTCCTCGCTCTCTGACTTGCTGCTCTCTTCTAAAGAGGGCTGCTCTCTCTCCGGACGAGTGGGTACGGGGAGCTCATGGCAGTGTGGCACTAAAGGCGATGGATGAAGGAAGGTCGTGATAGCTTGTGCATTCTTGCCAATCTGATGTTTGGAAGGGTCCGCCATGCAGAAATAGCAGTTGCTTGAGTGGTCAGTGGGTTCCCGACAAATTATTGGGTTAGTGAACTTCATGGCTCTCTTTTCCACTCTGTACCATCCGACAAAAATACATTTATTTCACCCATGGCTAATGTGTAAGAGATTCTCGTTACATTTTTCATATATGATATATTTTTTAAATAACATTGAAAATTGTAAAACATTTTAAATTTTAAAACTTTTACAATTTAAAAAATTGCAACAAATTTAATAACATAAAATTCCGAGCAACAATTGTCCATCTTACCTTCCAGAGTATTTTTGCATTGGTCGGAGGTCAAATAAGGTGCCCAGGGTTTGTCTTGATCCCCGACAGGCATGTCGAAATATGCCTTGTCGGCCTCACACATCTTAGCAGATGCTTCCACAGACTACTTTTTCGCTCTTGTCTTGATAAATTGTCCGCCGACATAGCAAAATGCATCTGCCGGATGCTTGCAGCCTCTTGATGCCACCTCAGAAAAATGCAAATATGTATCCAGTTAGGCAGCTGGAATTAAACTAAACTCGTGGGCTTAAGGGCCCTGTTTTTATACTACTATTTATATTACTGGAAAGTTCTAGAATGTTCTAGAAGTTACTCCAAGTTTACTCAGCACTGAATCGATCTAGAATGTTCTGGAAAATAGGTAAATTTAAAAATATCAATGTTCTGGTCACAAAAGCAAAGGTTGTGGGGAATAATAGCCATTTTCTGTATTTTTGAGCCATAAGCAATTAGGAAATAGTACTTACTACCCAGAAACAAAAAAAATATGTTACACAGTGTAATCATCATTCTTAGCCGCGCTGATATTTATCATGACAATCATGATGCTCATCATCATTATTGTTGTTAGCCATGTTCAATCCACTGTTGGACGAAGGCCTCCACAAGCTGCTGCCACCACCACCTGGCTTCACATATATTATTATTATTATAGACCCATCCCCAATAAGTAAGTAACCATACAGTTGCATATCAATGACTCTGTCGTGGTTTACTTTAATTGGCCATAGTTGAAAGGTATTGTCTGTCATCAAAACTTCCCTCAAGGCAGTTTGTCAGCATATGGGTGGTGATAGAAATGTATGAAATCAAGTTTGTTTTTGAAGTCCCTTTTAGATGTATTTTACTTTTATGCCGACACCCCAAGGTAAGGATATGCCGTGACTTGTAAAAGGCTTGACCCCAAATACTGAATGTAGACGTTTTCAAATCCACAAAGAGGCCGAGAAAAAAATAGCCGTCAGGCACGTCAGCGTGGCGCTTTGCTCAGATATGCAAACACAAATTCGTAATTCAATATTTGTCCAAAGTGATAAGCCCGTTGAGGCCCCAAAAAATTATCTGTTGCAATTTCAAGATTTTTCGGTTGAACGGCGAGCAGGCATTAAAAGCAAAACGAATGAACAAAGACATTCCACGTTGCCCTTGCGATATTGGAACTGAAGATGAGCGAAACAAAAGCGGCAGTCACACCTTGCACCAGCCGTTCCGTAAAACAAATTAAAACAAAGAAAAGGCTGAGCATTAAACCAGCCTTTCCTGTGGCATAGAGAGTATCTTTGAAAAAAAAAACAACCCATGTCTTTAAAATGCCATGTTTTTCACAAGAAATGTATTGACAGAACGACAGTTTTTTTTTGGGGGGGGGGGCGGGGGTGGGGAGTGGAAATGAAATTCAGAGAATGCTGGGGCCCTTCAGTGTGGCGGGTGCGCTGCACGGTAGGAGCGCCCGAGGTCTCGAGAGGATTGTGGTCACTGGCAGGGCGACCCGCGCGTTCACCGGGGAGGGGTGCCACATTTCACACACGTGGAAATCGCAGCAATGTAGCACCGCCGTGTGCTTTGCCTCCTCACTCGCTCGCTCGCCTATCACATTAGCGCAGGGCAGCGTTTTGAATGAAGTTGGCATGGAATTATGTTCGGTGCCGACCCACAAATGACGCTGCGAAAAAAATAATATTGATAACGCATCAAGCTGCTCTCATGCACTCGCGAATGTCTGCCCGGTGACCTCTGCACAGGCTCCTGTATCGTCATGAAGTCGCATGTTGTTCAGCTTGTCAGCGCAAATTAAACTCAGATTGGTTAGAAATCTATTTCCAGATCAACTTCGAAATTGGCGTCACTCTATTCAAGATATTTTTTTGGGCTCGCCCCTTGCTTGCGTCTCATATTACTCTTACTCCCCTCCACTCACTCTTTGCTCCAGCGATAATCGCGCCTTCTGTCAAAACCCCCAGTCAACCTTTGCTCAGTGGGAGGCCACTTATCCTCTGCTGCCCCCATTATCTAGAACTCTGTTCCTTCAGATGCGCGTGCTGTAGACTTGCCGTGTCTGTTCGTGCGAGTGACAGGTTATCGACTGTTGCCTTTGTGCCCCAACTGGTTTCTCATCTCGTCGTGCGCGCGCTGTTTCGTGCGCGCGAGAGTCGAGATTCGCGGAAAAAGGAGCCGCGCATTTACACTGGCTCTCTTTGGAATGCAGTGCAAGTCGACTGAGCCTTAAGTATTATTTACTTCTGGGTGTGGTGGTTGAATCACTTTTGTATAGGTGAATGGTAAAGTATGAAGCTTGTTTACTACAAATGCTATTCTTTGCTCTTATGAAATTATAAAAGAAGTTACAATTCTTCTCTGTGTGGTTTCACCTGGTTACATAGGGGACACTGACTGATCGATGGATTCAATCAAGTATTCCATTATATGCTTTGTGTCAGGATAACTTAGCTTGTGTATTCTTTATTCCAAGGCATTGGCAGCTGAATCCGGTGTCTCTGAACATCATAAACACGCTACCCTTTAGCTTACAAGGGTAAGAGTACATTTCAGCCCTTCAGCAATTCACTGACCTGTGAAGGTCCCCATGCTGTGTTGGTCATGGGAAGTTGGTTACCGCATCACGCTGGTCGGTGTGATACACTGGTCAGACAGCACTCACCACTGATGTTAGCTGTGACTGTAAATTCAACTCAGGTTGATTCTAAATCCAAGTCCAGATCAACTTCGAGATTGAAGTAATTCTATTCAAGATCTTTTTTTTGGGCTCGCCCCTTGCCTACCTCTCATCCCACTCTTACCCCCCACCAGGGACTCTGTCACTACTTCAACTCGCCCTCCTCATCTCACTCTTACTCCCCACCAGGGACTCTCTCACTGATCCCACCTCACCCTTCTTATCTCACTCTTACTCCCCACCAGGGACTCTGTCACTGCTCCCACCTCGCCCTCCTCATCTCACTCTTACTCCCCACCAGGGACCCTGTCACTGCTCCCACCTCGCCCTCCTCATCTCACTCTTACTCCCCACCAGGGACCCTGTCACTACTTCAACTCGCCCTCCTCATCTCACTCTTACTCCCCTCCAGGGACTCTGTGACTGCTCCCACCTCGCCCTCCTCATCTTACTCTTACTACCATTCACTCACTCTTTGCTCCAGCGACCATCGCCTTCTGTCAAAGCCCCCAGTCGTCCTCTGCTCAGTGGGAGGCCACTTCTTCGCCTCTGCTGGCCTAAATGTCTAGTGCTCTGTTCCCCCAGATGCCCATGCTGTATACTTTCTGTGCCTGTTCAAGTCCAGGCTCAATGCCTACTTTCTCTCCTCTACCTGTGACTGACTCTTCGTTCGTAAACAAAACAACGAATCAGCCTCTGTTGCCCGTGTCCTGTGTCCTATTGCCTGTGTCCTATTCACCTTTACAGCGCATTGAGATGCAGTTTGAATGTATATGCTCCACATATTGCATTGCAGAGTGCCGCCGCTTCCCTTCCGCGTCACTTCAGTTGTTCCCGTTGAGTGCCGATGGAAGGCGCTGCCTCCGAGACACGTCTCCTGTGGCTTTTGTTTTCGCGGCAGGAACTCAGTCGGCACTGAGGGTCATCGTCCCCTCTCCGGTGACGGTGGAGTTGGGGAGCGATATCATCATCCCGTGCTCATACGAGGTGACGGACGGCAGCTCTGCCACCTCGTCCTCTTCGCCCGTCACCTTGCAGTGGCTCTACGTGAGTAACACGGCGGGCATGTACACACAGTTTTCAGTTTCATTTATTTGGTATAGCCCTGTGAGCCATTTGGCTCTTGAATCTGGTGCAACCGCAACAAACAAAAACATGAACAAGAAAACGTCTTGAAGTGACTACGCGCAAACAGAAAAAAATCCAGGAAAAAACCAGCAAAGTCTCCCAGAAAAAGCACCGAATATCAACGCTGTGTGCAAAAATCCCAGTGGGATGCAAGTCGAACAATAACAACCATAAGACAATTTGAAAGTTATCAGTCTAACAAATATGGCTAAACCGAAACGTTTTCAAAATCACCGAAATAATGCTATAAAAACAATGTAACAGTGAGTTTAACACGTAGGCTTTCGCGACCAATATTATTCATAATAAAGGTTTTTGGGTTAGATCGCGTTTATTTATAAATGTGTCGTAACCCTCCACCACCCGACATGGCCAATCAGCAAAAAAGTGTCACATTGACAAAAGACAAATAATTCACTACTTTAGCCCACCGGTGTGTTGAAGAGTGAATCCATATTTACAGTTTGAGTACGACGTTTCGCTGGTAAATACATCAAGCATCATCGGGCAATTCGCCCGATGATGCTGGATGTATTTAACCCAAAAACCTTTATTATGAATGTAACAGTGATCATAGTAAATGTGATTGAAAGGCCACACGGTGAAAACGATACAGACTGATGTGCATGTATGTTGAATTTCTTTTTGCGCCGTATGTAGCTAAACCTGCTAATCCTCGGTGCGGGGGAAGGACAACAAATTAAACACAAAAAGCAGTCCTAAAGAAATTAGTTTTCAATTTAGATTGAAAAGTGCAGTGGCTTCCTAATGTCGGAAGGAAGAGTATCCAAAACGGCCGCAGAGGCGCATCTGAAAGCTTCAAAGATCCTCCCATAGCAGTGGCCCTTAACCTTAAACTGCAGCCTTGCACCCCCTTGGTTCTCACTCGTAAACAAAATGTATAATGCGAATAAATACATAGAAGGGTTGATGAAACAAAGTAGTTGTACTCACGTACCCGTGATTAAATTGTGTTTCGATTATTTACCTTCTAGACACATCCTGGCATGTCTCGCACCCCCTGAGAGGGCATCTCACACCCCCAGAGAGGGCATCTTGGACCCCCAGGGAGGGCATCTCACACCCCCAGTGAGGGCATCTCACCCCCCAGAGAGGGCATCTTGGACCCCCAGGGAGGGCATCTCACACCCCCAGAGAGGGCATCTCACACCCCCAGAGAGGGCATCTCACACCCCCAGTGAGGGCATCTCACACCCCCAGAGAGGGCATCTCACACCCCCAGAGAGGGCATCTCACACCCCCAGTGAGGGCATCTCACCCCCCAGAGAGGGCATCTTGGACCCCCAGGGAGGGCATCTCACACCCCCAGAGAGGGCATCTCACACCCCCAGAGAGGGCATCTCACACCCCCAGTGAGGGCATCTCACACCCCCAGAGAGGGCATCTCACACCCCCAGAGAGGGCATCTCACACCCCCAGTGAGGGCATCTCACCCCCCAGAGAGGGCATCTTGGACCCCCAGGGAGGGCGTCTCACACCCCCAGAGAGGACAGCTCACACCCCCAGGGAGGGTATCTCACACCCCCAGAGAGGGCATCTCACACCCCCGGGAAGGGCATCTCACAACCCCAGGGAGGGCATCTCACACCCCCGGGAAGGGCATCTCACACCCCCGGGAAGGGTATCTCGCACCCCCAGAGAGGACATCTCACACCCCCAGGGAGGGCATCTCACACCCCCAGAGAGGACATCTCGCACCCCCAGGGAGGACATCTCACACCCCCAGAGAGGACATCTCACACCCCCAGGGAGGACATCTCACACCCCCAGAGAGGACATCTCGCACCCCCAGAGAGGGCATCTCACACCCCCAGAGAGGGCATCTCACACCCCCAGTGAGGGCATCTCTCACCCCCAGAGAGGACATCTCGCACCCCCAGGGAGGACATCTCACACCCCCAGAGAGGACATCTCACACCCCCAGGGAGGACATCTCACACCCCCAGAGAGGACATCTCGCACCCCCAGAGAGGGCATCTCACACCCCCAGAGAGGGCATCTCACACCCCCAGTGAGGGCATCTCTCACCCCCAGTGAGGGCATCTCACACCCCCAGTGAGGGCATCTCGCACCCCCAGAGAGGACATCTCACACCCCCAGAGAGGACATCTCACACCCCCAGAGAGGGCATCTCACACCCCCAGTGAGGGCATCTCTCACCCCCAGTGAGGGCATCTCACACCCCCAGTGAGGGCATCTCACACCCCCAGTGAGGGCATCTCACACCCCCAGGAAGGGCATCTCGCACCCCCAGAGAGGACATCTCACACCCCCAGAGAGGGCATTTCGTACCTGCAGGGGGTGCTTGCACCCCAGGTTAAGAACCACCGCCCTGTAGCCTTAACAGACTGTTGGGGCAAGTGCTGAGAGCAACCTGTAAAGGCCAACACACGGGGTGGAGCCAGCATCACTCCTGGCTTGCCTCGGTCTCCCCAGTGTTGATGTTTACGCGCTGTAACGGCTTCTCATTCAAGGCTGAGTCAACCTAGCAGAGGCCCAGAACCGGTTCAGATATTCGTCACTGTTGGCCGTGAGCGGGCTATCGAACTCGGGTCGCCGTGTTCGTAGCGCAGTGCCGTAAGCACTGCACTAATACTAACTCCATGTATTTAGCGCTTTTCATCAAGGCTCTCAAAGCGCTGAAAAGAACACAGTAGCAGCAGACACTGATGCATATCCACGCACACCCACAGACACGCACACAGACACGCACACACCCATGACCTCCACACGCACCCCCACACACAACAAGACAAGATCCCCCGTATAGCCTAAAGAGACTGTTAGGGCAAGTGCTGTTTGTGGCACACGAGGGGGTGGGTGGCCAACACCACGCCCGGCCGTCTTTGTCTGCCCAGTGGCGATGTTTAGACATCGCACCAGGTAGTCATTTGAGGCTGAATCGACCTAGCGGAGGCCCAGGACCGTTTCAGATAATCGTCACTGGTGTTGGCCGTGAGCGGGAATTGAACCCGGATCTCCACACTACACACGCACACACGCACACACCCACACCTACGCACGCATGCACACACGCACGCACCTCCTTGCAGGACACGTGAGATGTGTCCAGACATACGCACGGGGGAACGCGCGGGGTTGAATCACATCAAGGCACATCGAGGCACTGCATTAGCAACTCAATAAGCAATGTGCGTGGAATTGGTCAATGCGACTCGTTGTTAAAATGCGCCCCCGGTTGGCATTGTTGTCAGCAATGGCAGTTTTGCCAGCTCTTCTGCGGACCATGACATCCGAGTAATTTGTCAGCTGCGATAATGACATTGTTTCGCGGTTAAGTGCGTCTCGGGCTGGGAATCTTTTAATTAGGGCGATGTGTAACGGGCAGATGGTCGTGTCGGAATGCGGAGAGCTAAACACGTTATTCTTTATTTCACTAAAGCGCATCTGTTAATTATTGAGCGTGCACACATCAGCCTGAATTGAGTTGGTGGCCGTAATCCTGTTGTGTGGGTGTGGATTTAATAAAAAATAAATTGGCTCCGATTTGATACGTTTTTGTGCAAATACATACACTGTACTGGACAAATAGTGAATGGTGAATACAGACGAACAGAAGGGGCATTGGGATCTCTATGAACATTACATTGAATCAAAGCTGACAGAAAACAATAAAAGCGAATTTGTCTCTTGGCTCACGACCCTGACACTGACGCACGCCTAGAATTTATCCGACATTTCAAAAACTTTAAATGATCGGGGACACGCAGAACAAAGCAATATATTTACTCTATACAGTATTTGTGAAACATCTGGAAAGTGAAATGGGATTAAAGTTATGAAATAGAGATATGGATGAGACCAAGGTACAGTGATTGTTATTTACATACCAAAACTTGATTATGAATTGCAACATTAGCAGTGCATGTCACCTGCTACGACAAAATGGGTCAGCGACATTAAACAACAACGAAAATGAAACACGAGCCGACAAGCGTACAGAGCAGTTTGGTTTATTTTGTTTAACCAGATGAGAACTCAAGAGGCAGTCTCATTTGCAGGAATAACAAAACCAAGTAAAAATTCAAAGAGATGCAAAAGCAAAAGAAGCGTGGAAGAGAAATGCATGCTTGGAATCACACCGAGAGACAGAAAGAGGAACACGTGGATCAGAGAACAGGCAAGTTGTAGTCGTGGCTCGTTAGAAAAAAAGAAAAGTCAATGGCATTGGACGGGGCCACGTCGCCGGTGAGGTTTGGTGGCGAGTGCTCGAGGTGGCAGTCGAAGGAGAGAACGTGCCTCCTGAGGGGGCCATCAACAGCAACGCAACCTGGCTCCTGACGGCACGGACTGTGTGTGTGTATGTTGAACATCTTTCGCACCGTATGTAGCCAACCGTGCTAATCGGAGGTGCGGGAGAAGCAGAACAACAAAACTTGAACACAAAAAAAAGCAGTTCTAAAGAAATGAGTTTTCAATCTCGATGATTTAAGAGCGCACAGCTCCGGTGGCTTCCTAGTATCGGAAGGAAGAGCGTTCCAGACGGCCGCAGAAGCGCATCTGAAAGCGCGCGATGCGGTGACCACCTTTGATCGATGGCGAGCCACCGAATCAAGCCCGAGACGTTGCCTGAACTACACGTGTCATATACCGTATATGTAATCAAAATGCCTATAAATGGCCCCGAGCACATAAAATAAAGAAAATGAAAATTCCGCAGAATCTCCTTCGGGCTCTTAAAGTAGTCATGCATTGTGTCATTTAAAAGGTAACGCTGAGCCATAGCTTCATTAATTTTGCGCACAAAGCTAATACTTTACAGTTTAATATGAAATGATTGTGTACGGTTTAATTGCAGGCACCAAGCCAGCAATGGCATTATTGGACGAACCCAAATGTACGCCAAATAAAAAAAATGTTTTAAGGCCGTGACTGGGCAGAAGGGGATGGTCTCTGCTGACTATCCTATAAAATGAGATTTTTTTTCAATTCCAGCTTTCATTTGAAAAACACCTCAAAGCAGACATTCCATTATACAAAAAAAATATTTCATAAAAAAACAAACCTTGTGCCTGTGTTGTGCAAACATGCAATCAAATGGGCCCCCTATACTTGATGAAGCGCTGATCGCCGGGTCCCCAGTAAAATATATCGCATAAGTAAAGTGAGCAAGCGAAGCATAAAATTGAAACTAAAATGCGATGGCACATAGCTGAAATAAAGAGTCTCTCTGGATCTAAATGGAAAGAAAATGAAAACCCTTAGATATCGTTTAGACTGTAATCACCGTATATACAAGTGTGAATGTTTCTGAAATGAGTGCAGTGTTTTTTTTGGCGTTCCATATCGCTGGACGTGAAATTTACTGCCCGTTTTATTTGGCTCCATCTCATCTCACTCCAGCACTCCGGGGAAGTGGCCTCCTGCAAATGCCATTACCGAAAGTTCTGTGGAGCAGCGTCGACCTCGTGCTGGCGTTGTTGCCCGATGCCAGGATGCAAACTCTTCCTCTTGCCCCCCCCCCTCCCATTGGTTCACTGAACCTACGTGGTTCTGCACCTTCTCATCCAATCATCACGCGAATTCCGGTCATCTACGCAGCAGCGGCTTTTGGCTGGTCTTCGAACAAAGACGGTCACTGCATCGCGCGCTTTCATACGCGCTTCTGCGGCCGTCTGGAACGCTCTTCCTTCCGATATTAGGAAGCTGCTGGGAGCGATGCACTTTTTGATCATCCAGTTTGAAAAGTAATTGCTTTAAAACTGCTTTTTGTGTTCCGCTTGATGTCCTTCCCCCGCACCTCCGATTAGCACGGTTGGCTATGTACGGTGAAAAAGAAGTTCAACATACATACGTACAAGCACCGCCCAACCGCTTGCCTCATTGGCTTTTCTTTTTAATCAGCGGGAAGACATTGGTCACTTCTCGTTTAATATTTTGACTTCGCTCCCGTGAGCTTCACAGACACCGTCTCCACGAAGCTCCCGTGGTCCGTAAAATTAAGCAAACACGCGTTCGCTCAGGACAATTTGACTCGTACGGTCAACGTGACCGTCTCCCGGCATGTGAGTCGAGCTCGTTTCTTCCTCTTGCAGCTCCTTCGACTTTTCAATATGATCACAGTTCGCAAGACACTGCGAGTTCATTAAAACACAACAACAACAGCGAAATACACTGTTGTTTTGAGTTTAATGGAATACCTGGTTTCAGGTTTTTTTCTTCTTCTTATTCTTCTTCTCAGAATGATAAAAAAACAAACACATCATCGTAGGACAGTCGTTCGAAAAAAATAAGTTTACACGGTTTAAAAAAGAAAACCCCCCATTGCCCTTTTCCCCCTCCAAAAAAGAATTCCGCTCGCACTTTTAGCATCACCAAATCACCCCGAGTGCACCCGATCACATCGGGTCCCGACAGCTAAGTGGCGACGAGCCTGGTTGATCTCTGGATGGGAGACCGACCGTGAATACCAAGTGTTGTCGGGGCGGTGGCCGCGTGACCCGCCCTTGTCCGCTGCCGCCGCTCTCTCGCTCTCTCTCCCGCTGGCAGGAAGAAAAGGGCATGGACGGACGGACCAGCCCTCAACGTATTCTATACAAACATGGCAGCACCATCTACCACGATAACAACGCCCAATACAAAGGGCGCGTGGACGTCTCCGCCGACCTCACGCTGACCGTTCGCCAGGCGCGCCTGGAGGACGCTCGCACGTTCACGTGCGAGGTCGTGAGCCCGCACGGCACCAACGAGGCCCACACCACGGTCAACGTCTTCGGTGAGTCCGCGCCGCCCCCGCGTGCGGGACTCTCTCCCCCATCCAGTGGCATTGAGTCGCGCGTTGCGCGTCTCGCAGCAGTTCCGCGAAGCAGGCGGCCTGACAGTTAAAATCATCCGAGCGATTTATTTGTTTGTATTTCTGTTTGTTTGATCCAGCAAAACGCTTACCGCGCAGCGACACTATATGCCAGTGCGATTGTGGCCGTGCAAATCTAAACTTTGGTTAAACCGCTGTGGTCTGCGCTCCATCAATGGAGGCATAACAAAGCTGCACCAACTCTCTCCTGAAGCCCTCTTGTGGCGAGCAAATGTCAACATTGATATTTCGCTCCTGAACAACGTTTTGCTACGATCGCACGCAAGACAAAAATAGGAGGGCTCCGCCAAGTTTTCGCACTCGTGGGGGTGGCTTTGCTGCCGAACAATCCCAATCGAGCGTGTTTGTTGCAGGTACTGTTATCTCTCTGCCCATGGTCCATCACCAGCGTTTGAGCAAATAGCCATTGTGTCGAGGCGTCGCCAGTTTTGGTAAGGATGTGCAATCCTTTGATTTAGTGCCACGTATTGTGCCCGCGTAGCCTCATTCAAGTGGGAGGCTGTTTGATATTATTGTACACTTTAAGGCCTTTTTAAAAATGATAGTTAATCCCAAATTTGAAAAGAGTAATAGTACAAATCTTTTTTTTAATGATTAATTGATTGCTTATTGAAAAGAGAAAATTGGCTTCAACAAAAGTATGAGCGGCCCTGCCAATAAAGTTCAACTTTATTTCGTTTAAAGAGACCTGGGGAGGGTGATGATTGCTACGCATTATTCCAAGTTAGCGAATATGGACCCCGAAGGCCTGAACACAGTGGCCTTCTCTTGCGAATGACGTCAGGGGATCATTGACGTGCACCCTGAAGCAGACGGCGCATAGTCGTAGCGTTCTGCTTATTACACACCGCGGTAATAATCAGGGCGGCCCGATGGATTCGAACCTCTGTCACAAGAGGCGAGTAACACGCTAGGCCGTGTCACTGCCCTATAGGATTTCTTAAACTGTGAGCCATCGCGCACAGCGTGATCTGCCACGACGCGGCATGATGGTAAAACCAAGAAATATATTTTTGTTATCTAAAAGGATAAAGGGGCTCATGGCTGTACACAACGACATCGCGAGCGTCAGATTCTGGAAAATGTTGGCTCATAGTGAGACCTTGTATTTTTGCAAAACTACATTCACTTTAACTTCATGAAATTAATGTTTAACAGGTTTAACGTTGTGTTTCTGTCTCACTACATATGTCGACGAGGGTGGGAGAGAAAAAAAAATAACGTTATGAAAAATGTAAGAGCTAAAATGTCAAGCGAAACGTACACGATTGATATCGTTACTCTGGGCACAGTGAGAAGCATAAACAGCTCGCCTCGTTGTGAAATCGAGGGAAATTATTTTTTGTCGCTAGAAGGATGCGGCAAGACCTGCCGGCTGCGATTTTAAAATCCGTGCCAACTGATTGAGAGGGCCTCGACACTCTACCTCCTCCACACGCCCTCCTCATTTTAGATGTCCCCAGGGCGCGCGCAGGCTTGATCTGTCCCAACGCTGACAGGAGCCCAGGGAAACACACGCACGAGAGCGCGCGCACGCACGTGCGTGTGCTTGTCCGTGTGTGTGTGTGTGTGGCGAATCAGAGCCGTGGGCCCGCCACCCGTCGGGAGTAGAATGCCGATGCCGTGCGCCTGCGTACGGACCGACGGGGAGCGGTGGCGTAGCGGTTAGTTCGCTGCGCTATGAACCTGGCGACCCGGGTTCGATTCCCGCTCACGGCCAACACCCAGTGACGATTATTTGAACCGGTCCTGGGCCTCCCTTAGGTCGACTCAGCATCAAATGAGCACCCGGTGCGGTGTGTAAACATCGCCGTTAGTGGAGACAAAGGCGGCCGGGCGTGGTGCTGGCCACCCCCACCCCCTCGTGTGCCGTGCCGGCCTTCATAGGTGCTCGCTAACAGCACTTGCCCCTACAGTCTGTTAAGGCTACACGGGGGGATCTTTGTATTTGTCTTTGTGCGTGGCGAACCAGAGTCGAATGACGGTGGTGCGCGCGTTTCGCGAGTCTCGGCGTCGTGCGACCCGGCTCGGTCGATACCCTGGGGGGGGCTTGCAGGGTGTGGGGCGAGCGCGTTGAGACACGTCCCGTGGCGAGCCGGGCGTTTAGGGTCCGGGGTGGCACGGGCGGGAGAGGCAGTGTGGTGCTGTGCAGGTGACTGCAGATTCGATGATAATAGTGATTGTTTGTGTCGGGTATGGGAACGCACTTGTGAATGTATAACGGGGGGGGGGGGGGGGGGAGGTTTAAAGTAGTATGTATGTTGAACTTCTTTCGCACTATACGTAGCCAACCGTGCACAAGATGGGTCTCGAACCGACACTACACCGACCCAGCGCAGGTTTGATCGCCGTCATCATCATCGTCGTCATCATCCCTTCATGATTCACATATTTCATGAGACGTCGAAGGTTTAAAACGTGAACCAAATGCCCAGAGATTCCTGAACACACCAACGGCATATTAGTGTATAACTATCCATGCAAATAAATACAATCTAACAACAACAAAACATTGAATACGTGCATGTTTGCACGTGCAATGTACCATTGGACATTGCTTAAAGCTCATAAAAAAAAATGCCAGTATCGAGTCTGTCCTTGGATCGATCCGAGCCCGTCGATGCAGCGACGTGCTCGGGCGGGACTGTGGCCTTAACGCCGGCACCGCGGTGGCGAGGGCACACGGCCCTCGGTGGCGACCCCCATGGCACCTGGCTGGGACCCCGCCCATGGCCGCCACTGCACCTGAGCGCGCTGGCAGCGATGTGCAGCTGTGATGGGGGGCATGAGCCGAGTGGTCGCCCTCACAGCACGTGGACGTGCGGTGAGTTATCCACATGACTCCCGTGAAGGGCAGCAGGCGACTAGGGTACAGAGGAGCCGCACGTGTTCACAATGATTGTTACTTAATGCTTAATTTTAAGGAGCCGAATTATCCACTAAACTTGAAGGGGTCTCATCGGTTTATGTTTAGAAGACCGACAGCAAATGACAAATTGCCGAGGTACAGCCCAGACGAGGCCAGACAGTGCGAGAGGTGGTGCAATGGGGCAGGGGCGAGTGAGTGACTTTGATACTGTAGCATCGTGACACAAATGGAAATCAGCTGACCGAAGAATTGTGCTAATATGAGCTTTAAAAGTAAGGGCAGAGAGCAGCGAGGCTCCAGAGGCTCTTGGACACGCCGCTGACAGTTTATTATGGGAGGGTCAGACCCCCTACAATACCCGACTGGGACCAGAGACACCCAGAGGACAGCTGCTCTCAAACTAACATTTGCGGTCGGCACGTTGGCCAACATTTTTCGCGGCATCGCAAATGTGGCTGACCGGCTTCTATATACGGCCCCCTTCCGTCACCGTCCGTCCCGTGCATCGCCCTCCTTTCCCCGTCCGTGTTCCATGCACCCGGGGTGGGATGCATGACGGCCTCCACCTCCCCCCCCACCATGGACACTCAGACGATTCCTCCTCAGGTCGTGCACCGGGCAAGTTTAGAGATTGCCGTGCGGTTCACAAAGCCACGTGGTAACCCCTGCGTCATGAATGGCTGCTTCTGTTCGGTGTCTGATGACAGCCGCGATGCAGGTACAGCTTGGGAGCCGTTGGGCTGGCAGCTTCAGAACTCGGGGTTCTCACATTCTGTTAATGTCATCTGTCTTTCCTTTTTTTTTTTAAAGGGTGTACAATGATGATGACGATGATTATGATAATGTTGATGTAAGCAACCGCATGAATGCGTCTGTGCAATGCAACGCACCGGTGGGAAGATGATGAATGTATGTTGCATGTATGCACGTTGCACATCTTTCGCACCGTACGTAGCCAACCGTGATAATCGAAGGCACGTACGGAAGTGTGAGCGACGTGCAACCAGTGGCTTCAGTTAACAGCGGTGCCAATTATACCCAGGCTGGGTCTGCGTCTCAAACCTTTATATATATTTTTGTTGTTACAGGTAAACCGACACTTCCGAAAATAACAGCAAACAGCCTGCCCATTCCTGCCAACACGCTTGAGCAGGTACTTACCGTAAAACAAAAACATTTTTTTTAAAATGGCACCGCGTTGTCTTGGATCGGGACAGTTTTTCACCCCGTACCTCATGGCCCCCCGCTCTGGTGATTTACAGATTGCCACCTGCACATCGAGCAACGCGTTCCCGGAGCCTGTCATCGTGTGGTACAAGGATGGAGAGAAGATGGATAAATCTGCAGGTGGGGGGTGGTTAGCATGCTGCGCTACGAATCTGGCGCGGTGTGTAAACATCACCGCTGGAGAGACAAAGGCGGCCGGCCGTGATGTTGGTCACCGACCCCCTCATGTGTCCTGCCGGCCTTCGTAGGTGCTCACTGAGCACTAACCCTAACGAGTGTGTCAAGGCTACATGGGGGATCTTTGTCTTTGTTTGTCCGTGCGTGGCAGCCAAACGGAGTCGCACATGCAGAATTCGCCAGCCCCCCACCCCCTTCAACCTCCACCAACACGAACAATGACAACGATCCCCCATATAGTGCTGTTAGTGAGCACATTTTATAGCCAGAATGGCACACGACGGGTGTGTTGGCAAGTACCACGCCCAGTCTCCTTTGTCTCCCCAGTGACGATGTTTACTGCATGCTGCACCAGGTAGGCTGAGTCGCCCCGAGGGGGCCCAGGACAGGTTAAGATATTCACCACTGTTATTGATCGTGAGCGGGAATCGAACTTTGTAGCGCAGTGCACAACCCACTCCCCGCAAAAGTGACGCACACCTTTGCAGCCACGTCAGTTGTTACGTAAAAAATACATTGCGGTTATTGTATTGCTTGTCATTATTAAAATATTGAAACATAGGCCTGCTCATGCGGGACCAGTCATGGCAGTTTTTGTTTGACACATTTATGAAAATGAGATCGGGGTGAGGGCTCGAAGCTGCTCTGATAACACTTGCCACTGAAGTCAGTCATGGCTGAATTGAACTCGGGTCACATGGTCTATCGCGCAGTGCGCTGACCACGCCACTGCTCCGCGCAGTGTTAGTATTTGTGTAGTGACAAACTCGGAGACACTAAGAGTTGGAGGCACTTCTTTATTAACAAGCACCATCGGGGTTAACACTTTTATAATAAGTCCGTCCATGGTCAGCGACGTTACTCAGCCAGGACAGTTGGTAGGCCGCCTGACTGGTGACGCCCCGAGATGGTGAAGACGGAGACTTAAGCCCTCTGCGGTGAAGACTTAAGCAGCTCGGCGGGGATCCCACTCCATACGACAGCCTCGAGGTCCCATCCAGGGGCCCCTCTAATACTGTCAACATGGCCTGGCTCCGCCCCCGGCCACGCTCCCTTTCTAGAACCTACCAGCGGTTCTTTGTGTGCCCTTTCCCCTAGACCCCCCCTCTGGTGTATCACGTGGTCTGCTGACGTCAGGGCTGTTGTAAACCGCAGATCCCATTGCCTGCCAGCAGCCAGGGCTATGCTGCTACATTTGTACTAAATCCAAGTTTAACTGTAATTCGTGAAGTAATGACCACGCGTAATGCGTTATATTTCATTTGCAACCGAAGTCTCCTTTCGTAAAAGTGTCTTTTAGCCTCATAGTGGCTCCCACCAGATTTGAAATAAAGGATATCAATCTGTCATCCATCGTAATTTGTATGATTAAATTCCGCGGAGGGCTTAAGTGTCGGCGCTAATTGATGCCTTTGAGTGCACACAGCTGCATGTGACTCGCTGCAGATGTCGCCGACATGTGGAGTGAACAGAACAGAGGATGTCACCGGGTTTTTTTCTTTTGTCACTCTCCAAGAAACTGACAGCTCGTGTTTAGTCCCTGAACACAGTGTAGCTGCGCACGTGCAATGTCAGGCACTTAACATTGACGTGTGCTGCGTCTTTTTTACCAAGCAGCATAGGCCCAAATGACATTTGAGCGTATATTTTTTTTTTATTAAAGCCATAATGTGTAAGTGTTTTGCCAACAATCTGCGTGTCATGTTGGCGGTTGTATAAAGACGTCGCACCGTTCAAAGAACTAAACTGGTGTCTTTCTTTGAAAGGATTGTCTGCACAGGCAAAGTTTAATCGTTGCTTCATCCCTATTTTTCGGTCAACTGAAGCTTTATTTTTTACGCTTCACATATAGCAGTTAAAAATGATGCAACATCTATACATATCACCATACGTACACGTTCATGTATATAACAGAGGGATTTACCATTGAGTAATTCCTTTCACCATAGATACATTTAGAAAAATAACAATTTGCACTTAAGGGGCTACAGTCGAACGCGTGAATACTTTTAGAGTCTTAAAAAAGTCAGACACGTAAAGAATACCTGGAAATAAAGTGACACGTATTGAAATAATGACTGAAATTCTTGCAAAGCCTGCACTTAGGCACCCTCAGCTGGTAGATGAATCTGCCTTCTGCTGTGGGATAATGAAGCACCTGCCGCTTCTGCACGGATGGCGTCCAAGCTGGCGCGGATATTCAAATCTGTATGAATGTCTCCGGAAAAAAAAACAACTCTCCGACCATCGTCACCGTGGTGGGATGATAACAACTTCACCTGGAGGCCATGAATTCGATCTCGACCCTGACCCCTGCTGTATATTTGGGGTTTGCATGTCTCTGTCCCTGTGGTGGTGTGGATTTTTCTCCAGATCCTCCAGTTCTCCGCGCCGCGTTTAGAATCAGCATCACGAATTTTGAGTATTTGGCTGCTATAAATTTCCCGCGATATGCCACTTCGTTCAGCTATCATTTGTGGTAGCCAGGTCGTTTCTGAAAAAAGAGCTATACAGCTCAGTGGGCCTTACCTGGTAAAATTAAATATCTTTTTTGAATAGTTTTTATGTTGACAAAAGTCCTTTTTCTCTCCGACCTTGCGACCTTTCCCGCAGCCGAGACTGAGTTGGCCGTGCAGCCAGACGGCCTTTTCTCCGTGACCTCAAAGTTACGCTCGAGGCCTTCCAGGGCCGACCGTGACTCGCTCTACCACTGCGAGGTCCTTCACTGGGCGCCGGGCGAAGGCCCCGGAATGCCCCCGCAGCAAAAGCTTCTCAAGTCTGCCGCCGTCAACGTCACGGTGCACTGTGAGTCCTTTGTCGGTGGTGGGTGTGTTGTTTGTGGTTGTGTCCGTCGTGGGTGTGTTTGTTCGTGCTTGTGTCGGTCGTGGGTGTGTTTGTTCGTGGTTGTGTCGGTCGTGGGTGTGTTTGTTCGTGGTTGTGTCGGTGGTGGGTGTGTTTGTTCGTGGTTGTGTCGGTGGTGGGTGTGTTTGTTCGTGGTTGTGTTGGTGGTGGGTGTGTTTGTTTGTGGTTGTGTCGGTGGTGAGTGTGTTTGTTTGTGGTTGTGTCGGTGGTGGATGTGTTTCTTTGTGGTTGTGTCGGTGGTGGGTGTGTTTCTTTGTGATTGTGTTGGTGGTGGGTGTGTTGTTCGTGATTGTGTCGGTGGTGGGTGTGTTGTTCGTGGTTGTGTCGGTGGTGGGGGTGTTTGTTCGTGGTTATGTTGGTGGTGGGTGTGTTGTTCGTGGTTGTGTCGGTGGTGGGTGTGTTTGTTCGTGGTTGTGTCGGTGGTGGGTGTGTTGTTCGTGGTTGTGTCGGTCGTGGGTGTGTTTGTTCGTGGTTGTGTCGGTGGTGGGTGTGTTTGTTCGTGGTTGTGTCGGTGGTGGGTGTGTTGTTCGTGGTTGTGTCGGTGGTGGGTGTGTTTGTTCGTGGTTGTGTCGGTGGTGGGTGTGTTTGTTTGTGGTTGTGTCGGTGGTGGGTGTGTTTGTTCGTGGTTGTGTCGGTGGTGGGTGTGTTTGTTCGTGGTTGTGTCGGTGGTGGGTGTGTTTGTTCGTGGTTGTGTCGGTGGTGGGTGTGTTTGTTTGTGGTTGTGTCGGTGGTGGGTGTGTTTGTTCGTGGTTGTGTCGGTGGTGGGTGTGTTTGTTTGTGGTTGTGTCGGTGGTGGGTGTGTTTGTTTGTGGTTGTGTCGGTGGTGGGTGTGTTTGTTTGTGGTTGTGTCGGTGGTGGGTGTGTTTGTTTGTGGTTGTGTCGGTGGTGGGTGTGTTTCTTTGTGGTTGTGTCGGTGGTGGGTGTGTTTCTTTGTGGTTGTGTTGGTGGTGGGTGTGTTGTTTGTGATTGTGTCGGTGGTGGGTGTGTTGTTCGTGGTTGTGTTGGTGGTGGGTGTGTTTGTTCGTGGTTGTGTTGGTGGTGGATGTGTTTGTTCGTGGTTGTGTCGGTGGTGGGTGTGTTGTTCGTGGTTGTGTTGGTGGTGGGTGTGTTGTTCGTGGTTGTGTTGGTGGTGGATGTGTTTGTTCGTGGTTATGTTGGTGCTGGGTGTGTTGTTCGTGGTTGTGTTGGTGGTGGGTGTGTTGTTCGTGGTTGTGTTGGTGGTGGATGTGTTGTTCGTGGTTATGTTGGTGCTGGGTGTGTTGTTCGTGGTTGTGTCGGTGGTGGGTGTGTTTGTTCGTGGTTGTGTTGGTGGTGGGTGTGTTGTTCGTGGTTGTGTTGGTGGTGGATGTGTTTGTTCATGGTTATGTTGGTGCTGGGTGTGTTGTTCGTGGTTGTGTTGTTCGTGGTTGTGTTGGTGGTGGGTGTGTTGTCGGTGGTGGGTGTGTTGACAGTGTTGTGACCAGTCGAGCAGCATACTTTGTGCTTTGGCGCTAAGCATTTATTCATTTTCAACAGCTGGCGGGCAAAATGGTACGGCGAGCCGCTGCTGTGGTTGTTTTTTTTGCAACGCTCACGACGAACGATCCAGAAAGTCGTGCCATACAATTCGACTTTCTCCATTTCTGATTTCTATTCACGGGCAACACTTGCGTTTAAGTTCACTCAGTTCAACGCAACCTTTTGGCAAGCAAAGAACGTTGTCAACTATGTTCTGAATAAAATCTCCCTTCGCATGTAAATTGTTAGGACACGTAATTCAGCGCATCCCTTGTTTAACGTAGCGCGAATGTTGATCAGCCATTCTCAATTTGCTGCTGGATGAAGGACTTGTGTATTTTACTCCCTACAATCCTCCTATTAGCATGGTCGGCTACGTACGGTGCGAAAGAAGTTCAACATACATACATGCTTTGAAACTCTCTGTCTTGCATCTGCATGCACTCCCAATCTCAGTGCCATCTCATCCCGTGCCCCCCCTCCCCATGTTGCGGTCTGCCTCTTGGCCACTATTGTCTTGACTACAAATTGAAAAATGGTTTCAATAAAAAAAATTGAACCAACAAGAACAAGGGCCAGCGCATCATATGTTTTACCATCACATCGTGAATTCAGTGAGTACGGTGGATGGCTCGGTGCCATTCATAATATAAATGTTTGTTGTTTTATTATGGATCGTTTTACACTTTGTTCTCTTGCCCCATCAATATTTCCACCGTGCCACTGTGTAATGGTAAATGCACGCATTGCTTTTTGGTATTCTTACTAAATTCATTTTTTTTATTTCACGGGCAAATTTTGTATTTCGTTCACACGCTTTTATGTAGTTGGTAATTTTTGCCGTGCGGTTTTATATCGCCACGCATTATTGTTGTTCTGTTTTTCACTGAACGTTACAAGTGCCGTGTAAATAAGTTTTCCTTTTTTATGGCTCATGCTGCAGTTTTAGTTTTGTACATCCTGTTTTTGTACAGGTCGGCTTTCTCGCAAGAGACGTCCTGTGCCAGTGGACGCCCACACTTGTTTGAAATGAAACGTTTTGTTCACCGAACTTCCCCTGCCCTGATGTGGAAGACGTATAACGATGCATTGATCAATCTATTAATAGCAGTTTTTTCTTCTTCACGACTCGGCAACGCGTTCAGACTCAAACATGCACCACGTGACTGCTTCATGAGACAGCTATAGCCACTAGTGGCCGCTACATTCACCTTCATCATTGTCACAACGTAGTAACAGACAATCGATTTGATTAGCATGGTTGCCGAAATAAATTCAACATACGGTACATACATTTGGTCGCGATTAATGTCTACGTGATAAGCTGCTTCTTTGAGCTATCATTTGTGGCCAGGTCGCCTCTGAAAAAAGCTATATGGCTCAGTGGGCCTTACCTGCTAAAATAAAAAAAGTTTAGTTTATAGTATAATAATAATTTGGTGAACTGGAATGTTGACAATTCTTCATATCGTGGAGGGGGAGGTGGGGGGGGGATGAAGGCAATTTATTAAAAAAAATTCGTGACTTACTTACCTTCCCTATACTTTGTATTATTGTTGGTGTAACTTTGTAACTCGTCCCCTATTGGACATCTCTAAGTAAGAAAAGAGCTTCACAGCTCATCGGATTCCGCCAGCCTAAAAAAACAAAGTCAAGATCCTGCTTCGAAATTCCGAACCGTCGTTACACCCCCTAAGTGGTGCCCCCCCCCCCGCCCCCGCCCCCCCCCCCCCCCCCGTGCATCTTTGTGGAGCGCAGATCCCCCGCAGAGAGTGACGCTTATCGTGGAGCCGGCCACTGTCAAGGAGGGGGACAGCGTCGTCATGGAGTGCAGCACGGACGGGAACCCGCAGCCCTCTTCCTTCGAGTTCTACAGGGTCTTTGTACGTGACGACTCTTGTGGTGGCGACGCAGGGCGACCACGCCTGCGACTCTTTGCTTAGACTCAACGCCCGTCGTGTAGCCCTCCGGCCGATGAAAGATTAATGGAGAAAGGGAAAAAGAAAAAAAAAATATATATAATGTGATGGGGACTTGCTTCAAGGAATGGTCACGGTAGGTGCGTTTGAGATTGTTGGGTAAATGCTGTGAGGATGTCGGCTGCAGGGGCAAAGCAACACCACGTGTCGACCTGTCGAATGAAAATACTTCCTCGCTTTTCAGCTGCGTTGTGTCAGCGGGACACAAAATAATAGAATAATTTTCTTACGTATTTTCTGGTTTATTTTTGACACCGAAACTTTTGCAGAGTGCCATACCAATTATTCAATTTAATATGAAATATAAACCCATTTTGACGGAACAAAAAAAATCTAAAAATATGGAGCCGGCTTTGGATAATATTATGCACGGAAGGTTGACTCGAAAAATCCAAGATAAATGGTGGAAGCTTCAGTCAGTTCTCGATTGAAATTCCAAACAAAACGTTTTACACATTTATAGTCGGTGCGCATCATCAGTTATTCTTGACAGAGGTATGTAAAACACCTAATTCATTCATTTTTCAGCTGGAGAGCCGCTTTCTCCCCCCCCCACCCCCCGCGCCGCATCACAAAGCCTTTAACCCTTCCCCTGCGCCCAGGAGAAGGAGGAGAGGCGGGAGCGGCTGGCCACGGGCGTGCGGGGAGCGCGGCTCACCGTACCGGCGGTGCGGCGCTCCGACTCGGGCGTTTACGCCTGCACTCCGACCGTCACGACGCCCGGCCAACCGGGACCGGGCCTCACCGCCGATCGCAAGGCCCTCTCCGTGCACTGTGAGAGCGAGCGGGATGCGTGGGGGTTGGGCGAGCGCTTGGCACCCCCCCCCCCTCCCACCCCACCATAACCCCCCCCACTCCCCGTGGGGTTTCTGAGCAATAATCGTTGGTAAGAGCGCCGCTCGGAACCCGCCCAGCGTTTTGCCCTCTGAACAAATTGGCGGTGTCGAGATAAGAAGGCAGCTTCTCGTCTTCTTGGCTTGCACAAAGCACCGTGAAGAGTGTGGACTGAGTCATCCGCTGGACGTTCGCGATGCGCGATCCCGCCCAACGTGCCACTTGGGTCGTTCATCACAGGTGGTGGTGACGAGTGATGCGCCCCTTGCAAGTTCTCGTCCGCGACATCCCACCGCCGGCGAAAGCGTTGCGTGCACATAGCAAGCCTCACGTTTCTTCCAGCGCCGCTTTTATTGCTGGAATGGGGGAATGCTTCATGAAGGGCTGCCACTCGTTCTCAAAAGTGGACGAGCCTGAAACCCGAGTTTTCAGACTACAACCCATGGAGCTCACAGGGCCTGTATACGTTTCATTCAGAGCTGTCACAAGTTGGACATGGTGGTTACTTTTTCTACCACTTTTTGTTGTTGTTGTTGTTCCTGTGAGTTTCCAGCGACAAGCTGACTAATCTAAATGAAAAACCTGACAGCAACATTAATCAACTAACTACATTTGCATCATGTGCATTCATTGTGAAACCGTTCCCTCTCCCTCTCTCTCCCCCCTCTCTCCATCCCTCGTGGGTTTATTTTTTGTATTTTTCCGTGTGCCCGGGCCAGTCATGGGCGAGGTGGCGCCCAGCTCGCGGGCACCCGTGGTGGTGCCGCGGGGGGGCACACTGGCCGTGTGGTGCACCGCCGAGGCGTCCACGACCCTCGTGTGTAGCTGGGTCAAGGTGAGCCGTGCGGCAGAACCCGCTCCACCTCGTCGCCTCTCCCCTCTCTCTGTCGACGACGTTTTAACGATGTGTGTGTGTGTGCGTGTTTTTTTCTGTAGGATTAAGAAAAGGTTCACGTTGCAGATTTTGGTTTTTGTAAAAATTCACTTGAAAGATTTGCGCACGTGTCCCACCATACACCTGATTTTGGTGTGTCCAGGGTGTATCAATGGACAGGTCAGGAACGTAGCAAAGATGATGGGATACGTGCTGTTAGCGAGCACCTATCAAGGTCGACACGGCGACCGAGAGAGTGGGTGACCAGCAGTATGCCCGGCTGCCTTTGTCTCCTTTGCGGCGATGTTTGACCATCGCACCGGATTACTCATTTGAGCCGGCCTAGTGGAGGCCCAGGACCGGTTCAGATAATAATCGCCGCTGGTGTCGGCCGCAGCGGGCACGTGATGACACGCACACGAGCAGGTCACGGTGAGCGGCGTTCGCCCGGCGCTCCGCTCATGAGCTTGGTTGAGGAATCGTCGCCAGAGCGAGCGCTCAATCGGGGTTCGGTGTCTGTGGTGCGTGCGGCCCCGCAGAACGACCAGGTGTTGCTCAAGGGCTTCAAGCTGAGGAAGCAGAACGTGGGCTACACGGACATGGGCGTGTACACGTGCGTGTGCACGCTGGAGGAGGTGCCGGACCTGAGCCGCAACAGCTCCGTGCAAGTGCTTGTGGAAGGTCGTTCGCTCCACTCACTCACTCGCCCGCTCGCTCGTCCCCCCCGATCACCCCCCCCGCTCGCCCACTTGCTCGCCCCCCCCCGCTCGCCCACTCGCTCGCCTGCTAGCCTCCCCACTCTCGCTTCTCGTCAAATCGCACGGCGCTCGCCGTAAACACGGGGACATATTGCGTGAGACATTGCTCGTGAGAGGAAAAAATGTGATCGGTTAATGTTTTTGGCGTGATCGATCATTTTAAAAGACGGACCGTGAAGGGCGTCTGCTTAAAGATGATTAAGGATCAGATCAGAATCTTTATTTATCCTGGAGGAATACGATGAGCAACGAAGCTCTCTTTCACAGATGTCCAGTAGACATTCAATAATTCTTGACTTAAAGCTTTCGTGACTGCAGGAATTCATATTCTTTGGGTCTTTCGGTAAAGTCACGTAGATAGGTTCAAATGAATAAAAAATACAATAAACAAAAACCACGACGTTTCGACCATCCTCCTGATGACGATCGCTTGTGTTGTGGTCGAAACGTCGTGGTTTTTGTAGAGTTTACTTTTTAAAATTAATTTTAACCTATGTACGTGACTTTACCGAAAGACCCAAAGAATATACATTCAATAATTGTTTTTTCCCCCCTCGCATTCATATATGCAAATGATAAAAAAAACTGCCAACGTTCTCAAAATGTATTAAAATTTGCTCCGCAGCTTTATTTTTTTGTCATGATCAGCAAGATTGCACACGTCTTAATTGTCATCTTCGTTAGAGCCTCACGGATTAAAGCGGCGCTCTCATTAAGTCTCCCAATGACTCATGCACACCCCCTCGTTTCGGGCCGGTGTAACGCAAATCCACTTGACAACGTGGAAGTGCTGCCCAAGGCAATCCTCCCTCCAGATTATTCTCATTGCGTCGCTTCAAGTTACACGGATGTTTGTACGTCGTGTTCACAAGGCCTCCACTTCTTTATTAGTTTTGTTGTTGCTGCTGCTGCTTTATTTCTCAATTATATCCCAGCTGTGGATACGGGCGGCGTCCCGTGATATGACGAAATCTCCATTGAGAATTATTACGCAGTTATCAGCGCATCACACTTCGTCAGAGGACCCCCTCCCCCATCTCCAAGATTATGTCATAGAACAACCTCTGCTTTCCCCTCGATAAGCCTCCTCTTTATGCACACACGCGGGCCACACCTTGTACGGCATTACAACGAGTATTCATCACGTGTCAATCACATCCTTAAGCCTTCCAGTTGGAATTTTAGCAAATTTAATTAAAAGCCAAGTTCATTGTTAAGGGTTTTTTTTTCTTTCTCCTGCAGTCATCTCACGGTAACTTGAGAATCTGCTTTAGTAATGGGTGCTTGTCCAGAATAAAACCCAATAAATGAGCAGTGCTGTGAATCATCATCATGAGCCCAGCACCACGCAGCTACCCTTCAGCTTCTGACACGGCCATCTCAGTTGCCCCCCCCGCCCCCACAATTGCCACTCGCTCCTCCCTGCCAACACAGCCTCTCCCATCATCCAGTGAGTGTGACCAAATCACCCTGAATTCACCCGATCTTGTGGCATACGAACAGCTGAGCAGGACGAAGCCTGGGTGGTCGTGGATGGGAGAGTGCCAGGGAAGACGGGGCTCGTGTCAGCGTGGGTTGCGTGCTGGCCAGGCGATGGCAATGCAGCAATCGATGTCAGAATCAGAATGTTTATTTATACTGCAGGAGGAATCCGATGAGCTATGAAGCTCTTTTTCACAGACGTCCAGTAGGGGCGGGTCAGAACGTTACAACAAAACGATAGCATCACAAAGTATAGGAACGGTAAACGAATCCCTTAAATACCATATAAATAAAACTAAACACTGAGCTATTCGATTATTTTTCAGAAGCGACCTGGCCACAAATGATAGCTCAACGAAGTGGCTTATCATGTGGAGCTTCGAGGATTTATCTCCTTATATGTGTCAGTAGGCTCTCTCCCTGTAATATAATTTCTTTGCACGTTCCAAATTCTCATGAATGGAATTGACCAATCATCCCATTGCGAGACCCTCTTGAAAATAGTGTGATAAAAATAAAGGACATGACTATTTTAGACCTCGCTCGTGAGATGGAGCATGGTGGCTCAGAGGTCACCCAAGTGTGCTGAGACCCTGGGTTCCAATCCAAAATGCAGGCACGTGTGACTCAACCGGGTGATTGTTGAGCATACTGAGTTGGTGGTCTCAGCCTAGTCACCAATGGCTATACGCACAAATAGAAAACAAATAAAATATATATTCTTGGTTCTTTCGGTAAAGCCACGTAGATATAACTAAGAATATGAATCCCTGCAGTCACGAAAGCTTTAAATCGAAATAAAATATAGTTCCGCACTTTTTTTGGGCAAAATTAAGTTTTTTACATTTTAAAATATCGGTTTGACTCATAAATGGATTTATTGCCATGTGACGACCAGTGATTTACTAATGTTCCGCTTGTTTACAAAGGAAAGCCTCACTAAGTTTCAAGACTCCTTTGCGGTAGGGGACGCTGTTGCAATGTATCATCCCATTTGAATAAATTGCGATGTGATTTTCAACCACGGGATGTTTGGCCAACATTAGTGACATGGCTGGAAACCAGAGAACCCTGAGGAAACCCGTGCAGAAAAGGGGGGAAGAACATGCAAACTCCACAGAGGAGGGAAGGTGCCCGAATTGGGAATCGAGCCCAGGCCATTCTTGCTGCGAGGCAGGAGTGTCAACCAATGGGCCACCATCCTGCCTCCCAAATTGGTCTCAGTAGCGGGGCTGGTGGTAAGGCGCTGCCCCCTGCTGTGTGGAATCGAGGTCACTCGGACGGGATCTCAGAGGTGGCTCTGTGATATCCTCTTCTGTGGACGTGTTCTCTCTCCCGGAGAGTACGCGCTGCTCAGCGACAGAACCGAACGGACACTTTGTGTTGGGGTACGGAAAGGATTATCATCATCATCATCATCATCACTACTACTATTATTCTTATAATTTAATAATGTTAACATCTTGCCACGGTGGCAAAATGTTAACGGCCTCGCCCGGTATGCAGGAGTTTGTGGGTCCAATCCCGACCTTGACGCTGGTATACTTGGAGTTTGCGTGTCTCTCTCCCCGTAGCCGTGTGGTTTTTTTCTGCCGGTCCTCCGGTTTTTCCCTCCGCATTCAGGATCAACATGGGTTTTCAGTATTTGGCTGATATAAATTTCCACACGATAAGCCACTTCCTTGAGCTATCATTGTGGCCAGGTCGCTTCGAAAAAGGAAATAAATAGCTCAGTGGGCCTTACCTGGTAAAATAAAAAGAATGGTTTAGTTTTTGTATGTTAATGTTATTATTTGTAAAAACGCTGTCCCTGTTCATGGGTCCCATAGATATAGCAGCTCGGCCCGAGTTATTAATGCTTTGACATTTGCATTGACTCTGTGTGTTCTCTGGTCTAACACTGGTGAGACAAGGCCACAGAAGAGGCCGTCTCTGGTGTAGGCCAATCAGCGTCAAGGACAATACACAAAAAAAATCATCAAAGCACTTTTCCCTGCATGTTTTACCACAAGCGTGCGTGGTTAATGCAGACTTGATGAGAGGTGTTCTATTTGGTGTTCGAACACCTGTATCCTTGCCGGAAAGGGTAAAGCCTATTCCTTTTTGTTGTTGTTCATCAACTGTCCCTGCCTGCTGGTCCATGCTTCTCCGCAGGTCCCCCAGCGCTGCATGGACAGCCGAGCACGTGCGTTGATGTGAACGAGAGCCTGGAGCTCGCCTGCACCATGCAGGGCTTTCCCAGGCCCCACGTCATGTGGAGCATCACCGGGAGCCAGGTGGGTGCCTCCGTCTCCCTGTGGAGCCGCACAAACCACGTCCCACGTCGTTTTCCCCGTGGAGTCGCGCAAACCTCAAAGCTCCACGTGATAAGCCACTTCGTTGAGCTATCATTTGTGGCCAGGTCGCTTCTGAAAAAGAATCGAATAGCTCAGTGTTTAGTTTTATTTATATGGTATTTAAGATATTCGTTTACCGTTCCTATACTTTGTACTGCTATTGTTTTGTTGTAACGTTCTGATTTGCCCCTTCTGGAAATCTGTGAATAAGTGCTTCATACAGTGAGGGAAAAAAGTATTTGATCCCCTGCTGATTTTGTACGTTTGCCCACTGACAAAGAAATGATCAGTCTATAATTTTAATGGTAGGTTTATTTAATATATTATATATTATTATATTAATAATATATTAATATATTTTCATAGTATGTTTTTTTGTTTGCATTTTGACTGCAGGTATTGTGGTTAATGCAGACATGAATCCTTGTAAAAAGGTTTAAGTTTTGTTGCCAGAAAAAAAGGGGAAAAACCCTGTTATTATTACATTTTGGTACTGGCAAAGGAGGTCTAATGATGTAGATGCTCATCCCAAGCCCTCATTACTTTGATAGTGCATTGTCTCTGAGCTGTGTGACGCCTTTTGGCGTCATCTGGTCGAGCACCAATTGGGTCGAGGCTCAAAAGAAAGCCGTCCCTGGGTGTGGACCAATCAGTTTCAAGGACAATGCCACATATTATCACAGTATGTTTTTTGTTTGCATTTTGACTGCAGGTATTGTGGTTAATGCAGACATGAATCCTCGTAAAAAGGTTTCAGTTTTGTCGCCAGAAAAAAAGGGGAAAAACCCTGTTATTATATTTTGGTACTGGCAAAGGAGGTCTAATGATGCCATCCAGAATGTGCCGACCTTGTCAGATTTCAGAAGCTAAGCAGGGGTGAGCCTGGATAGTGTTAGGCGATGACCCCGGACAATGAAGTTGCAATGGGTTGCTGCGGGGCTACATTGCGGGCAGCAGGGAGCTGTGCGGCAAAGTATGTTCTGTTCTGTACTGAACCTCTGATGAGCGCGGGTGGCCACGTACGTTGGGAAAGAAGTTCAACATACATTGCACATACAGGAACGTTCCAGACGATGGGGGGCAGCAAACGAAATGGGCGAGCTTCCACTGACTGAAGGTTGACTGGAGGCTTCCGTGGCCAGCGCTTTGACTGCTTGACCGAACCATCCAGAATGTGCGCGGGGAGGGAATAGAGTGAGATGAGAGGCGAGGGGTGGGCAGGAGCGAATCCGCGGAGGGTTTTTTCAAGATATGCGAACGCAATCTTGGAAGAAAATCCGGGATCGCACGCGTGAGCCGCTGATCGCATACGAGCAGCAACTCATGCTTGAATTAATTCCGGCTGCCGGATGTGATGGCCGCAACGGATTGTTTCCCAGTTTCAGAGTGGCTGACACGAACGCACTTAAAACGGTTTTGGATCGTATCAGATACGCGCGCAATCATCTCACCTCCGCGCTCCTGGGAGCGCTTGCCTCGTGCGCGCACCCTAGGAGGAGGGTGCGGCGTTCATGGGAACGGGGAGGTGGGGGTGGGTAGGGGTAGGAGGGTTAACGTTTGGCTGCGTTTTATCCGATGCAGACTCGCGTTCAAAAGATTGCGATGAAAGCAACAGCCGCTCACTTTCATCAACCGCCCTCCGCCGAGGTCCATTTTAATACGAGCACGAACAACGGGCGCGCAGATGAGAATTCATTTTTGTGAGGGCCCACGTGGCAATTAAACGCCTGAAAATAATTGCACTGATCGGCGTTTAGGGCTTGTCTGAGGCCCCGTGTTAAATATACTAATTAATGATCAAGGATAACGTCCATTTTTTTTAATCCACTGCTAGATGAAGGACACGTGTGGGTCATGGGGGTTGTTAGACAATACTTCACCACACTGGTCAGTGTTTGAGAGTGGTGGCGCAGTGGTTCGCGCGCTGCACCACGAACCCAGCGACCCGAGTATGATTCCTGCTCGTTAACAGCACCTGTTCAGTCTATACGGCGGATCTTTGTCACACAGTGCATGTTGGATATTGCTCGCCACTGATGTTAACCGTGGACAGGAATTGAACTTGGGTCGCCAGGTTCACAGCGCAGCACTCTAACCACTGTGTAACTGGTTCCTGCCAATTGTTTAATGTTATTTGATAGTACAGGTTATGTTTACAACTGTAAAAAAAGTTAGTTTTTGCATATTTGTAATTTAATTTGTTTTATATTCTACTTCTCATGTGCATGTTTACGAGGCAGTGCTAATTGTGTATTTACCACAGTAGTGGAGGTTTCCAGTATAAATACACATTTCACAGGGACCAGAAAAAAATCATATCCTTAGCGTGCTATGAAGCGCGGGTGGACGGTATCGTGGTTACAATTAAAATAGTTTGATTTGTGGCTACGGCTAACATCAGTGGTGAGTGATGTATTACAGTGGCCAGTGTGGTCATGTGCTGTCAAACAAATCCCATGCTGACTTTAAATGTGGAGGGCCTTCATCCAGAAGCAGATTCACAGTGGCTGATTTTGATAAGATTATCATAAAAAGGTGAGCGTCAGCATTTTCATGGATTTTTGGAAGCCTTGACCTTGGGAGGTGCAATACATAAACTGCTGTCATGTGGTAAAAAAAAAATAGTTGAAGGAGCATTGATTAAACACCAAGTTTAGCAGTTGCGGATTGCATTAGTTGTCAATCTTTACACAAAGTTTTCAGTTTATCAATAAATGTGTCAGTTGATCTTGCTCCCAAGGATGCGATCTGATGATAACTTACCTGTGTAGTGACATATGACGTCATTATGTCGGGACTGTACAACTGGTGTCAGAAGTGGCACAATTTTTTATTCTAGACTTAGCTATAGTGAGGCGATATGTTCACACGTCACAGAAAACCTGCCAGATACTCCTCGGGTGACGAAGACGACGTAGAAACCATCCCTCTGACAGCCCCGGGGATGGCCGCCCCGGAAAGTTCAGACGAGACTTCGCCGCCGGCGGAGCAGCGCTGCGTGACTTAAGCAGCCGCGTCATCGCCATCGAAGATTCGCCGCCCTGCCCGCGCCCACCTCGCTGAGCTGCTGGGCGCCGCGGCCGTGCTGGTCGCCGAGCTCGACGCTGAGGAGCCGCCGACGGAGGAGGCAGCCCCAGAGCCACGATGGCGTTGACCTCGCTGCTGCTGCCATCCGCACGCGCGATTCTCCCGCCACGCCGCCCGACCGTTTGGCGGCCATCTTGGTGGGAACGCGCGAAGCGGAGCCCCGCCATTTCCCCCCTCCCGCCAGCCTCGCCGCGGGACGTTCGAGTGCCGCAACGGCGACTCCCATTCGTCCGGGAGTTCATAGCAGCTGGCGGGGACTGGGAGGCGTTCGAATGAGCGAAGGCGAGGGGAAACCGAGACGCGCCCTCGCCTTCTGCAGTGCTCTGCTGTCCTTGGCGCCAACAGCGTTTCCGAAGATGGAGCCGGCGGAAGTTGATTCATTGGTCCTGGAGCGGTTGCTGGCGTTGGCGAAGGAGTTAAACGTTGCCTTGTCAGCGACGGAGGTGGACGATCCGTCGTCCCTCACGATCGCCCGATGCATTCAGGCTCACCTGAGTCTAAAGCGACGAACGGGGCTGGTGGCGTGCACTGCACCTGCGGAGGTGCTCGACGCGTCGGAAGAGGACGAGCCTGCCCCAGCTTGTGCCGCGGTCGATGGCGGAGGAGGACGGAGGCGCGATGCGGAGCGACGAGGGAGACGTAATCGTCCTCGAGGGACCTTCCCTCGTCCGGGCTACAGCCGCGTTTGTCTGCTACAACTGCGGGCTGCCAGGGCACGTCTCCTTGGGGTGCCGCGCTGCACGTCGAGGGCAGTTCGGGCCGCCATCGTCGTCTTCCCAGGCAGCCATCACCTTTAAGGGACCCTAAGGACCGGAGTGCGTGACACCCTCGATGCCGTCGGCTGCTGCTCCTCCGGACGCTCTGATGGGTGCGGAGCGGCTGTTGACCAGCCATTCTCCGCCGACGCCGTTATCTCCTATGGAGGGACCGCGCCAGTCGGCCAGTATTCAAGTCCCACCCGGGCTTTCAGGGAACTTGGGCCCACCTCGCCTGGAGGTCCGGCCACACGGACTCATTCAAAATCTGCTCGCTTTGTATTGACTCTCACACACCTTGCTGGTTGCCTACACCGTCGGTCACACAGTCACGCTCACATGTCATGGAGGTCATTGGCTGAACCTGCCATTTTTTTTTATTGTACTGCGCGCGCGTGATTTTACATGAATGCACCGTGCTGTCAGGGGTAAGCGAGTAAACCGGTTCATGTACATTTGTTGTTGTCGTTAATTCCCCTCCTTCCATGCGTTATTTATTCTTGGTCGCCGGTTATTTATTGACGTTGCTTTTTGGGAGGCACACCTTTCCATTTTTTTCCATAATTGCGTTACAGCCGAGAGGCCTGTGTGTTACACGGGGGGGGGGGGGGGGGTGATATAGTGACATATGACATCACTACCATGTCAGGACTGTACGAGCGTAGGGACACATGACGTCACTACCGTGCCAGCTTGGTATGAGGGCTGTAGGCGGGTGTCACGGGGGTCGTGTCAGGCCGTGGCACTCCGCGTGAACCCAACAGGACACGTCACTGGATAAAGGGGGGCCAGGGGCCCCTGGGGGAAGCTTGGAGGTCACCTGGTTGGGGGGCGTGGCCTGGGGCAGAGCCAGCCACGCCGGAGCGGTTATAAGCGGGGTGTGAACGGGGAGCTGGGCTGTTCTACTCCGGGATGAAGACGCCATGAGAAGTCCTCAAGTCTCCGATCGTCGTTCGTGACCAAGCAGCCGTCACCTGCCTTGGTGACGCTGTGCAGTGTTCGACGAGTGTTAGTGAGATTAGGAACGGTGGTCACTACCTTATGTATAGTATTCACGTTGGTGTTATGTGTTAATAAATAGTGTTGCCTCCAAGTTGAGTGTGCGCCTCAAGCGGACCATTACACCTGCAGTAAGCCTTACAGTGAGGGAAAAAAGTATTTGATCCCCTGCTGATTTTGTACGTTTGCCCACTGACAAAGAAATGATCAGTCTATAATTTTAATGGTAGGTTTATTTGAACAGTGAGAGACAGAATAACAACAACAAAATCCAGAAAAACGCTTGTCAAAATTTTTATAAATTGATTTTCATTTTAATGAGGGAAATAAGTATTTGACCCCCTCTCAATCAGAAAGATTTCTGGCTCCCAGGTGTCTTTTATACAGGTAACGAGCTGAGATTAGGAGCACACTCTTAAAGGGAGTGCTCCTAATCTCAGCTTGTTACCTGTATAAAAGACACCTGTCCACAGAAGCAATAAATAAATCAGATTCCAAACTCTCCACCATGGCCAAGACCAAAGAGCTCTCCAAGGATGTCAGGGACGAGATTGTAGACCTACACAAGGCTGGAATGGTCTACAAGACCATTGCCAAGCAGCTTGGTCAGAAGGTGACAACAGTCGGAGCGATTATTCGCAAATGGAAGAAACACAAAATAACTGTCAATCTTCTTTGGTTCTTTCGGTAAAGTCACGTAGAATGAGAATAAAATAATAAATTGATAAAATAACACAATAATATTCTCACGACGTTTCGGCCACAACACAAGCGGCCTTCATCAGGTGAAGGGACGAGACTGTCTGGTAGGACAGCGCTGGAGTGTTTGCCCACACACAGCGCTGTACTACCAGACAGTCTTGTCCCTTCACCTGATGAAGGCCGCTTGTGTTGTTGCCGAAACGTCGTGAGAATATTATTGTGTTATTTTATTTTATCAATTTATTATTGTATTCTCATTCTACGTGACTTTACCGAAAAAAACAAAGAAGATGAATCCTTGCAGTCACGAAAGCTTTAAATCGAAATTTAATTGTCATTCTCCCTCGGCCTGGGGCTTCATGCAAGATCTCACCTCGTGGAGTTGCAATGATCATGAGAACGGTGAGGAATCAGCCCAGAACTACACGGGGGGATCCTGTCAATGATCTCAAGGCAGCTGGGACCATAGTCACTAAGAAAACAATTGGTAACACACTATGCCGTGAAGGACTGCAATCCTGCAGCGCCCGCAAGGTCCCCCTGCTCAAGAAAGCACATATACATGCCCGTCTGAAGTTTGCCAATGAACATCTGAATGATTCAGAGGACAACTGGGTGAAAGTGTTGTGGTCAGATGAGACCAAAATGGAGCTCTTTGGCATCAACTCAACTCGCCGTGTTTGGAGGAGGAGGAATGCTGCCTATGACCCCAAGAACAACATCCCCACCGTCAAACATGGAGGTGGAAACATGCTTTGGTGGTGTTTTTCTGCTAAGGGGACAGGACAACTTCACCGCATCAACAGGACGATGGACGGGGTCATGTACCGTCAAATCTTTGGTGAGAACCTCCTTCCCTCAGCCAGGGCATTGAAAATGGGTCGTGGATGGGTATTCCAGCATAACAATGACACAAAACACACGGCCAATGCAACAAAGGAGTGGCTCAAGAAGAAGCACATTAAGGTCCTGGAGTGGCCTAGCCAGTCTCCATACCTTAATTCCATAGAAAATCTGTGGAGGGAGCTGAAGGTTCGAGTTACCAAACGTCAGGCTCGAAACCTTAATGACTTGGAGAAGATCTGCAAAGAGGAGTGGGACAAAATCCCTCCTGAGATGTCTGCAAACCTGGTGGCCAACTACAAGAAACGTCTGACCTCTGTGATTGCTAACAAGGTTTTTGCCACCAAGTACTAAGTCATGTTTTGCAGAGGGGTCAAATACTTATTTCCCTCATTAAAATGCAAATCAATTTATAACATTTTTGACATGCGTTTTTCTTGATTTTTTGTTGTTGTTATTCTGTCTCTCACTGTTCAAATAAACCTACCATTAAAATTATAGACTGATCATTTCTTTGTCAGTGGGCAAACGTACAAAATCAGCAGGGGATCAAATACTTTTTTCTTTCACTGTAAGCAGGAAGGAAACACCATCACAATTTAAGGCACTCATTCTAGAAGTTCTTAACCATGACAATTATTAGAACCAAATATTTACATGCATTACGTGACATTCGCATGTCAGGACATCCACAAACAACCTCTGCATATGCATGCTTTTAGTATAATAGTGATAATGTAACAGCTCCTTGTGAACCCACCTCAGGATGAAGGCCCTCACATGCCATGTCCACTCTATATGCTGGCGCGAAAGTAATAGAGTAAACCGATGAACACCAGCACCAGCTAATATACTGCACCAGAGTCTTATAATGGTTGTCAACATAAACACCACGACCGATGTACTTTGAGGCGTCGCGGCCATGACGCCATTCAGCTATGTTTAGTGCGATGCTCACGAGCACGGTCAACAGTTGCGCGGTGGGTCCTCTAATTAAGCAGAGCAGGCTTGAGTGAAGAAACCCCAGAAGTGAGCCTGGGTAGGGCAGGGGCAAGCGGCAGGGTGCATTTGTATCGCAAGAAGATCGAGGTGGCTCATGCTAATAAGGGCGCACGCGGGCCCATTGGGCACAAACACCGCACCAGCTGGGGCTGCTGCGGCCCGGCCAGTTGCCCCTGCCAGAACCGTGGGCATGTCCACCCCGAATTTAAAACACCGAACAAACAGGGACAGCCGCGAGGACCGGCTCGCCGCGGCCATTGTCGATCACTGAACTCTCTAAGAATTCGCGAGAAGGTCTGTCTTCGTTTGGCACCGCGAGTCTGGGGACATTTACGCTTGGAATATTATTATCTTTTCTTAAATGTGGCTCAGTCTGGCTTATGCAGATCATGGCTCTTGAACGCGCAATTCGCGAGTGCATTTCTTACGATTCGTTTTATGGACACGGTCAATTATCGCCGTTCGCGCACTTTGCGTCCCAAGCCTGCGCGGCGCATCTGCTGCACGGTGCAAGACACCGTGTGTGGTCACATGTTTCTCACGGCCAGATATCGGTGTTGCTCTTTTTTCTGGGTACATTTTTATTAGGGAGAATTGTAAATGGATATTTCTTACAAGCTATTAGTGCCAGCAATTTTAGTTCCTCTGAGGCGCAGCTTCAAGTTATGAGCTGTCGTTTGGTAGGAAAATTATAGCATTAGCCTTTCTGGTGTACGCTGCCTTCTTATACGGCGTACATATAAATGGAGCCGACAGTACAACCATCTATCCCATGGGAGAAAATAAAAATTAAACATTGCGCTCAATATTCTCATTAAATCACAAATATATTCTGTTGTAAATTACAAGTACTCAAAGTGCACTTCAAGATTATAACCGTCAGCTACGAATGCATATTTTCGCATTGTGTTCAGGCCTTAATGCAAATGCGCAACATATTTTAACCATAAGCAACAAACACAATTAAAATTGTAATTTTTCCAACAAGTCAATGAATAACAAATTGGACTGTGGAGAGCGATATAAGTGGTTGGATGAGAGTCATTTTCAATGGACAGCAGCGGGTGGTTTGTTGCTAATTCTCATCATGTACGCGATTAATCAACGCGTTTATCTATTTATCATGCATTGCCCTTTTCTTTACATTTTTAAAATAGGTATCCAATTAAAAACAGGCATATGCGCAGCGCTTGGGCAATGGAGAATGTTTCATCCCATTGCCGAATCGGCTCCCGCGCAAATACAATAGGCGAGGCGCTCCAGTCCAGCGCCTCTCGCAGCGTACTTTTATTTTTGGCACCCTCGTCGAGCTAATGACAATATAATTACAAGTGACCCCCGATCTTCAACTTGGATCATATCCCAAAGCCTCGGGGGGCCTCCTTCGCCGTGGTCCCGCCGTCGCCTGTGAACGCCTCTCCCTCATCGCTCGCGCCGTGCGCTTGTGTGTGCCTTCCGTTCGTCTGTCGTTTCAGTCCGAGGAGTGGGAGGAGCAGAATGCTCTGCTCATAAGTCGGCTGGCGGTGTCTGGCTTGGAGTCAGCGCAGCAGGAGGTGACGTGCAACGCCAGCAACCGGCTGGGCACGGACGGGCGACGCTTCACTCTGAGCCGCAGCTGTCAGTACCCAAACCTCCCAAGCAACAATTTGCCTCTCGCTGAGTGTAGCAGTAAGATCCATAACATTTCTGCCATTTGAATTTCTAAATACAATAAGTGTTTACTTGAAAAAAAAGTACACTAGAACCCACCCCCCCCCCCTCCAAAGTCGGCACAAAACTGGCGATCTGAAAATTGTAAAATAGTATGCGTTTTGTTGCCTAAACTTTTGACAGAATTGTCAAGTATTGTAAATGGGTGTTTGGATTAACCACCCTGCCAATTGATTATTATGGCTCAATCAAATCGGTTCTACTGTATTTGCTGTGTGTGTGTGTTTTTGTTAAATGGGGTGCACTGTGTTAAATGAGATGCCATTTCTCGTAGCGTTATTGCCTTGTCAGATATTGCCGCAAAAACGAAGCTTGATAAGGTAAACTTGCGGCGCCGGGGCGCGACACCGTGCACTCCGCTCGCTCGCTCGCTCGCAACAACAAAAAGCCCTGTTCTATTAAAACAAGGAGAACTGACACGTTTAACCCCATATAATATGCAAAAATAAATTTTACTTTGCAAAACTATTTCCTCACCCCGCGGCCCCCTCCCCCCCCCCATTACATCGGCTATGACAGCTAAATAACCAATTTAAGGACAAACCAGAAGATGTGGCAGCAATATAATTTCGACAAAGGAATGTAATTGCACTTGAAATGGAAAATTAAACATTATTTTTCGAAAACGTCAAAACTTAATTGCACACTCGCACGACCGAACAAGCGCTGAGATGCAAGGGGGAGATCGCTTCGATGGGAAAAAAACGGCACCGGTCACTGTTGCCTTTGTGTTCCGCTTGTGTTCCGTTGTGTTCCGTTGTGTTCCGTTGTGTTCCGTTGTGTTCCGTTGTGTTCTGCTCCCTTGTGTCTACTTGACAGGGAGAGCCTGTGTTGACATTGCGCATATTATTATTATGGATAGCCGGTAAAGCCAGCGACAATATTACTGTTTGCTGCCTGAATCTTTCAAAGGTGTGAAGGGAATTTATGGCTGACTCGTTGTGTGGGGGGCGGGGGGGATTTGGATCACAGATTTAATGGAGTGCCGCTGGTGTATATATTCCGCTATATGTGATGTACTATGTAAATACTAACAAGGTGGGATCATGCGGTCGGTAGGCACGGGTAGGTGCATGCCTGCAATTGCTTGCTACTCCTGGCGGAACGAACTCCACTCGAGGTAGCTCCGGAGGGTCACTCGAGAGGCAATTTTGGCCTACTCGACGTGTCTGGGATGCGATGGAAGTTCCCACGCTTTACCACCCCCACGTGCAGGCAGCCGATCGACTAAATGTAGCCGTTGTATGATGTTTGATCTGGGGTCGTTAACCAAAATAAAAAGTAAAAATAAAAAAAAAACCTCAATACTTCAAGAGCTGCAATGCACGTAGTGAACACGAGACGGTGGTCCTTCATAAATAATGTCACGAAGCAGTCCTCTTAATGAGCCACATTCGCCTCTGGGGCCGCAGGTTGCCGATCCCCTGCCCACGGTGAACTGGACTTCCATGGTGAATTGGACTTCCATTTTTTTGTTCGAATTTCAAGAGCCGCCACTGCAGTCCTTAAAGAGCCACTGCATGCGGCTCCGGATCTGCAGGTTACCGACCCCTGGTGTTAGATGGACAGAGGCAGTGGGAGATGGGGGGGGGGGGATTTCAGAAATTCGCCACCATTGCTTTGACTGTCGAGCCAGGCGATTGGATGGAACCAGCAATCTCTGAATTTGCAAGTCCGATGGGCTAATCGTTACACCACTGTGGCAGCATTCTAAAAATGATCAAGACGGAAAGAGGAATGGATAAGCAGGATATTTTCCGGAGCAACCATCTGGCTGAAAAATCAATACAATTGTGTATGTTTGATTAATTCACGTACAAATAGCGAGCTACAAGAAAATAGGGATGTATTTCCACATATACATACACTGATTTTAGCACAGTTCTAAGGAAAATAACATTGCAATACGGGCTTCACACAGTCTTGTAAAATAATGCAGGTGTGGAGAAGATTTGTTGGCGGAAAAATGTTAATTTTATCCGTTTGCACACAACAATAATATAGTTAGTCACCAAGGCCACGGCGAGGCTGTAGATAGCGAGGCTGCTTTCTATTCTCTCTGCATGTTACTTTTTATTTTTGCATTCATGGGATTGTAGAGAATCTTGACAGGGTGTGTTTGGATTGGAATTGCATTTATATCCTCGATGTTCTGGCTGGTTTGACAATGATCAATGATAATTGAGTTTCACTCGAAGCGGGAGGTGCTGTGGTGGCTTTGCAATCTGGGGAGAGAGTTGCATTCGTTTCGAGTATCTCGGTGTGCGGATCAGGAGTCTGGCTCCGGAAGACGATATTGATAGTGGCAGTGGGAAGCACATCCTGACTAACACACACCTCCCGAGCCAGCACCTCTCCAATCCACAGAAACAGATCCCCCTTACAGCCTCAACAGACTTTTGGGGCAAGTGCTGTTAGCAAGCACCTACGAAGGCTGGCATGGCACACGAGGGGGTGGGTGGCCAGCATCACGCCCGGCCGCCGTTGTCTCCCCAGTGGCGATGTTTACACACCCCGCCAGGTACACGCTTAAGGCTGAGTTGACCTAGGGGTGGCCCAGGACCAGTTCAGATAATCGTCACTGGTGTGGATGCGAGCGGGAACCGAAGTCGGGCCGCCGGGTTCAAAGTGCAGCGTGCTAACCGCCGTACTCTGCAAGCGCACTCGCCTGCAATTCATGTAACATCCCCTTCAGATTTTTATTCCAACACGCCATGTGGCCGTGCTGTCCGAGCCTCTGCCTTTGGCCATAGATGTTGCAGTATTGGCTCGGCGTGACTTAGAGCTTTCGTGACCGCAAGAATTCACATTCAATGGGTCTTTCGTTAAAGTCACGTAGATAGGTTCAAAGAAAAGAACTAAATATCTAAAAACTACGACGTTTCTATGGCAACACAAGCGGTCGTCATCCTGATGTTATTTCCTTTGAACCCATCAACGTGACTTTACCGAAAGACTCAAATAGTTTGGCTTGGCGTGCACGTACTGCATCGATTGAAATCGAATCTTAATGACGTCACACTCCCCGAAATGTGCGCGTAAGAATCGCTCGTTCGTAATGTATGGCAATGTACACGCTCCTGTTACATCTAGGTTAAAGGAGCGAACACATTTTTTTAAAAATCAATTGTACGGACAAAAAAACCGCAACAACAAAATTCAAATGAGATGGGAAGTGAGACAATTTTTTTAAAAATCAATCATTAAAAGGAATTGGAACCTCACAGCGTTATAATTCTTTAATTATCGGGGCAGGTAAAGCATGTGGATTGCTTCACTATTCTGGCAAATCTCCCGATGATGCTGGATGTAATTACCAGCGAAACATCGTATTCAAATTGTAAATGTTGTGGACTTACTCTCCAACACACCGGTGGGCTGAAGTAGTAACTAATTGGCGCGTTGTTTACGTGACAGACCTTACTGGCCGTGTCGTGTTGTGAAGGGTTATGACACATTTATACTTACACGATGTAACCCAAAAACCTTTATTATGAATCATATTGGTCGCGAAAGCCTACGTGTAAAACGCTTGCTGTTGGCACTCCACATGTGGTCCATGATAAGGCAATGCGCCTCTACGAACCCATTTATTGAATCAATGCTGTATTATTTGAATAATAATGAAATAAGTATGATAATAATGCCCATTATTTAGCTAGGGAAATCTTCACCAAGTCTCAAGACTCACTTTGAGGATAGTCAAAAAGAGTTTGTGACTTCACGCGGAAGGAGACCAGAGTTCCTGGAGAAACCCATTGGATATCTGTAAAAAAAAAAAAAAGCAAGAGCTTCACAGCTCATCAGATTTCTCCGGGATAAATAAAAAAAAGTTGTGATTAAATAGTCTGAACCCCACAGTTCGCATAGCGGCGGGCGCAACGCCCGGCGCTGCCATTTCCCGGCAACACCACGCAAGGCCCCCCGACACAACGCCTGGCCCACCGTGGTCATCGCCAATCCCGAGCGCCGACAAGGCCACGGTCCCGCTTGCGAATATTGCGATGGGACGTATGCATTTGTACGTATGTACACAAGTTGAACTCCTTTCGCACCGTGCGTAGCCAATCGTGCTCTAGCGGAGGTGCCGACGGGAGGGACGAGCTGGGGGACGCGGTTTACAGGGAGGTTCGTTTGCTGCCGTAGGGATGCCGGCGTTGCGTGACGGAGGGTCCCCGTGGCGCCGCGTGTCTCCTGTCGCCCGCCAGGCTGGCTGCAGAACGCCCTCGTCCTGGCCCTGGCGGTGGGCGGTGCGCTGCTGCTGGCGCTCGTCGTGGTGGTCGTGGTCCTGGTGGTGAAGCTGAAGCGCAGGAGGGGCCGCGCGTCCCCCGACAAGACGCCCAGGCAAGTGGCGCGTTCCAACGGACCGCCGTTAGCTGCCGCGTCGTTTCGCCGGCGACGTCCGACGTTTCGCTGCGCGCGCCCCGATGGCTTCTTGAAGAAGTGGCGCAGAGCCATGGGCTCGTCAGCAATGCCGCGAGAAATCTTACGCACGAGCGAAGTTTTATCTGCGCCCCACTACGTCCATCTGCCCTCTGCCCCCTAAATATATGACAGTAATGGAATTGTCATCACTTATTATCCCTTTGTTTATTGCATAATTGTTTTTTCATATGAATTGTATTTCTAATGTCGCGACAACATTGCTAACTACTTGCCGACTGATTTAATTCCAAACGGATTAAATTCGTAATGCGTTATGCTTGACAAAGTCTGTTTAGATCAATTACGGCCATTGATTGTTAAATTGATTTAACAAAAAAAAATCAGCATGCAAAATAAGGCAACACATTAGCAAGGCCATTTGGTCTCGTGCTTGGTGTATATATTTATAGATTGTACTTTGGATAGCAAAATGACCTTGTTTAGCGAAATACTCAATAATAATTAATAAATTACAGCCCTTTGTCAATCCACTGCTGCAGGAAGACCTTCCCACGCCTTTTGTTTGGCCACACTTCGCCACGCCGTCGTTCCCTGTGGGTTCGTGAAGGCAAAGAGCCAAGTCCATTTATTTCTTTATTTATACACCACTCACCACGGATGTGAGCCGTGGCCAGGAACACAACTCAGGGTTGATTGGTTTTGTAGTGCAGTCTGCTAACCGCTCCACTTCCGTTTCACTTCCAGATACACACATCAGTATATATGTGTGTGTGTGTATGTTTAAGAGTTCGATTCTCGTTCATGGCCAACACCAAGTGACGATTATCTGAACCGGTCCTGGGCATCGCCTAGGTCGACTCAGCCCCAAATGAGTACCTGGTGCGGTGTGTAAACATCAGCACTGGGGAGAGATAGGTCGCCGGACGTGGTGCTGGCCACTCACCCCTCTCGCGTGCCATTCCAGGCCTTCGTAGGTGCTACTCGCTAACAGCACTTGCCCCAACAGTTTGTTAAGACTATACGGGGGACATTCGTTTTTGTGTTTGTTTGTGTTACACTCTACCTCTCTGCAATCTCGATGTGCTGTCGAAGAAGGGTCATCATTGCCTCAAACGTCACCAAATAAATACATTTTTTTTCCTTTCAAGGTCGCGCTAGTGATGAATGCGTTGAATGCTTTTGTTGTTGTAATAATGAAGAATGTGCCTTGTTTCTTATAGAACTTCAAACAATGAAAAGCCTGAACAAGAGCCGCTCAAGAAGGGTTCACTTGTGGACACCACCAAAGTGTGAAGAGGCTGAGAACCACCCACAGGATTACTCTCCTTCACAAGCTGCTTTGACGACAGACGCCTCCACCCACAATCAGAATCTTTATTTATCCCCGAATAATCCGATGAGCTGTAAAGCTCTTTTTCACACATGTCCCATAGGGGCGGGCAGGCAGGATGGGGTGGGTTCAGCGAGTTACATCTGCAAGCAATACAATAGGCAAGATTGGAGAAAAGGTTTTCAACTCGCTAAAAATGAATATGTAAATACACTTAAATACACGTAATTCCCAACGGGGAGGAGTGCGCGCAGATGTTTACGGGAGCTTATGAGAGGTAGAATTATGGGATGATTCTCCGAGTTGCCTTCTTGCAGAATAATAATAATTCCTCATGACTTCCACTTGTGGTTTTTATTGAATATCCAAAAATGTTGTGGACTTGGATAATACACGTGATGGATTTAGTCCCATTTAATTTGTACAGTGTAAAATAGTACCGTTAGGTTTGTAAATATTTTGTAAATTATTGTACAGGTTAACTTGGAAATGAGATTGTGTTTTTTGTAATATTTAAATAATTTGTCATTTATGAAATAAATAAGTAATATATCACGTTTATTGTTTTTTTCAGGTTTTTGTTAAAGTAACATATTAAATGTATGCCTTTTTGTATATACTGTGCTTTAAATAGCTGTTTAAAACGTACTGGCTTATAGTTTCCTCTTTTACAAGGAGAAAAGATTAACATTCCATGCAGTGATGCATGTGTTATTCTAAGAGAGAGAATGGAATATCTAACGGTTGCCTGTCATGCTGCGGTAATTATGCACTTCCGTATCGACGACTTCCATTGATCAGCCACACGTCCAATTAACATTGCAAAAAACAACCACAATACATTTGTCAAGAACACCGCTTTAAAAAAAAAAATATATAGTTTACGCTTTGGGCAATGGGCCTTCCTCACGGCACACGGAGAGGCCAGTGAGGTCGGCTACGTACCGTGCGAAAGAAGTTCAACATACATATACTTACGGTGTGTGCGTTAGCAAGCGCCTATTCAGGCCAGCATGGCACACGAAGTAGGTGGGGCTACGAGTAGAACCAGGTGGGTCCGTTTATGCTCTCCCTGCTATGATGATCTCCAGCACCGCACTGCCGACAAGCGGTGAGGTGCTAAGGAAATGTGCCTAAAAGCACCGCTTCTAGATCAACGTGTGGGTTATCGTCTTCCCTCACCGGTGAATCCTCACGCACAATTGGTAATGTACGCAGAAATTCACAGTTTTGACTCGTTATTGCAAAGCAGTATATTTCACGATGGCAACATGTTACAATTACACGAAAAGTTACAAACGGTTGAATGAGTTATGAAGTTTTACTAACCATTTTATAAATGCTCTATGTGCCCTCCACCTGCTGTACGGACAACATCGAGACGATAGTTGAATTGGTCCCAAATGCCTCTCAAAGTGTCTTCTTCCACTGAAGTCACCGCTGCCGTGATTCTGTTTTTGAGGTCATACAGATTAGTCGCTAATGGTGGCACGAAAACACCACGGTCTTTTGTGCCACCATGCTTTTTGACATTGGCGGATCAATGCCAAAACGCCGTTGAAACGCACACTGCACCGCAATTACGGATTCAGTCTTGCTGAACTGCAGAACGCAAAACGCCCCTTGTGTTGCGGGGTCACCATCTTGCCAATGACTGAGGCTAGGGGCTGTTTGTGCGCTGGGAGAGGCATCTAGCGGTAATCATTTGAAACTCTATGCCCAGCCCTCTCTATGCCCCGCCCTCTCTATGCCCCGCCCTTTCAAGTGGTAAGAGTTTCATTCATGGGCGGTTCGTGGTTGCAGAGATATAGCGATTTCAAATCAGGTCCATCTTTTTAAAACAACCTATTTGCTGACGGTACTGAGTCTGTACCTCGGCGATTGTTTAGTTTTCGGAGGCTTTGCTGGTTGCTATACTGAGGAAGACCTCGGAAAAGCCAAGTCCAGACCGAGATACAGCCATTACCGCAGCACTCACAATTAATTTTAAAAAGCATTAATATGATGCTTGATAATGGCACTTGCCTCTGCAGCCTGCAAGGTAACATGGGGAAACTGTTGTGTTTGTGGTTTTTTAAAACGGAGACATTGACTACTTTTGACAAGGGTGTTCTGATGATATGCACTTAGATAACTTCTATGATTGCATCTCACGCGTGAATCCAGGTCAAGGCGGGCTACTCTGGGTATGTGCGAATCGTTTTCGTGTGGATATATGCAACTGGTGGCAAGCTGCCGCGCAACTGCTTGCCCAACGGTCGAGCCAAGGACTCGACTCTTAAGCGTCGATCTGCTCGGGCGATTTTTAGCGACGTATTTCAAGGCTCGTTACAATTCTGGCGTGGGTGGCGGGGTGGGAAGGGTGAAGCTTCGCCAGTAGAATGGCTTCAGCGTAGCCCAGACACAGCACAAGCCACACCCAGACACATCGTGTCGCTCGGATGTAAACTACAACGAAACATTTTTATTTTACAGTAACCAGGTGAAGGTCCACTGAGCTATATAGTTCTATTTTGGCCACAAGTTATAGCCCAATGGAAGTGCCTTATAATGTGAACATTTTTTTTATAGCAGCCAAATCGTCTAAACGCGTGTTGTTGATTCTAAATGTGGAGGGGGGAAAAACCTGGAAGACCCGGAGAAGAATCCCCGCGACCACGGGGAAAGAGACACGTAAACTCAAACTATACAGGCATCATCAAAGGTTGGGATTGAACTCACGACCTCCTGTATACCGGTCGAGGTTGCTGACAATTCCTAGCCACCGTGGATGTGGACAAAGCGGTTGCGGGCAGTGATGACGTTGCGCGATTTCTATCGCTCAAGTTGTGGGCCCCAAGCCTTGTTTTTGACTTTTGACTTTAGGATGTTCATGCGGCAGGTCGGTTCACTCGTGCTGTGCAAGGATACACTTCTCTTATTAACGCGTGCCTTTACACTGTGAGCCTTTACACTGTGAGCGATGACATGCTGGTGCTCATGCAATAAAACGTGTTTCCATCCTATGCAACAACGACAAACATTTCAAAACGATCGTTACATATGTTTGAAATGATGTAAATGTAACAGAGTAACAATGATGGATACTAATTTAAAACAAAATTGTAAGTGTAACAGTATTATTACATACTCTTATTACGTATTGTCGTTTTAGATGTTCAACTTTCATGCTTTAACGTGTATATAAAAAAGACATGCGTTCTCCTTAATGTTTAATTCTGGTAGTTAATTCCGAATATTTAAAATAGATTTTTTTGAGGGGAAATGGACATTGTTATTTCAAAATAATTGATGTCTTTAATTTGAGTCCATCAAGTCAGTTGCTTTCCAAATTTAAATATTTAGGATAAGTTTTTGCTTTTTCATAACACTGTTCTCAGATACACCAATATGTTAAATAAACATGATAATGGTAGATGACAACTCTGTATACGGAATGTCGCTACAACACAGGCGTAGGAATCGAGGAACGAATTTGATATACGTTATGTTGAATCGCACGTTTCAGAATGTTGAATCCCGAACTTAAAATTGGTTTTGGAGGGAGGGGGGGAAAAAAATAAAAAAAATGCTGTAGAGACCGCTGCTCCCCGAATCTCCACTCCCTTGCGATCCGAGGCTCTCCTCTTCTACACTCGGGGGAGGGTTGCTACCCTCCGCCTCTCCCACCTTCTCCGTTGCTGTGCGGGGCGTGGTCCCCGGCTGGCGCTTAGCCCCCCGGGATCCGTTCGCACACACGCCTTACGTACCCAGGCACTAACAAAACCCGACTCCGCTACCTGCCCGGCTCCGTACACCAATCACACGCGAGGGACTTGGGGTCAGGGGTTAGAGGGCAGGGGCGTCCACCGCGTGCTCGCCGCTGATTGGAGGGGACACCTCTGAGCCGATTTAAAGGTCGTTAAAACAGTCGCGCATGCACGCGAACACAAAGCACTCCACCCTCCTCCTCACACTCGGGAAGACCACACTACACAGTTTATCCTCTACTGGCGATTTTTATTCCCCGCGAATAACCCGCTAAACTACGCGTGATTGTGTGGGTCCGCAGACACTAACTAGCCTATCCTTCGGGGATCCTGGACTCAATTTATCCTGCCTGGCGCTCCACTTTTTACCCTCTGATTAATTAGCCCAAACTCACCTCTCTCTTACTTATGCTTACTTCCAATCTGATGCGCCGGAAGCTGTAGAAGGGCGATGCTGTGGGTCGTCTCCGTGGGGAATTGGGCCTGGCTGCGTTGAACCTCGTCACACGGACGACTCGAACGGCTGGCTCCAATACCCCGCTGATCCTGATGCCTTGAAGGACTCTCACTCTTTACTGCCTGAAGCACCCTCCTTTTATCCTACCTACAACAAAGGAGTTCCGCTGTTTCGCCCCCTTGGCCTCCCGTCCAATCAGGGACCCGGATTTTCCCGCTCTTTTGATAGTCGGATCCCAGCTCTGGTGACGTCACCGCAGTGGTCCCCTCGACGTCCGCTTTCTGTTCTTCCTGCTATCAGCCCCACTGACTCGTGTTGCGTGTGCGCGCTTCCATCCGCGGTGGCTCAACAGCCCCTGCCGTGACCATGCCATTACAATCCCAGGTCACGGCGCCGCGGTGCCCGTCAGCCTCGGGGGTAGGTCGCCCAATTCCCCGGCCGTAGGAAACCATGAAGCTTGATCCCAGTAGGGGCTTCTGGACGAAAACCCGTCGGCCAGGTGACCGTCCCCCCCGGCTCTACGTGGGGTATGCGTGCATTCATGTGGGGGGCGGCGAGGGGCGCGCAGTGTCGGCGTCGTCACCCCCCGGTGGCGGCGTCACGGCGGTGGGCACGGCCCCGACGGAGTGGCTCCGCTGTGGCGGCACCACAATGCACGGCCATCTGTCATTTGTTCAAGCCTGCATTTCATTCTTACCCAGGTCGTTCGCATGCCACATTTTTCATACTCAGCTGGTTTACCGCAACTTATTTGGCGTATTATGAATGTTTTATTTAAAAATCGATTTTCTCATTACAAAAAGTGCGCCGAACAAAATTGTTAGCTGCATTCTCAAGTATTATTCTATTATGTCTTGGGGCCAATGATTTTTTTCTCTCCCTGGGAATGCATCTCCGATTATGTAATAAACGTCAATGGGAATGTAGGGTTCGATAAACAGCATTTTGCTTTGTGGGCAACTTTTCAGGACCGTGTCTCTTTCATGTATGGAGGGATGCCTCTGTACGTTCAGCTGGAAATTCTTCATGAACAGTTTTTTTCTCCCAAATGTCGCTGCAAATAACTTTGGGCACAGGGTTGTTTCCTGCTATAATTTACGGTCCGATTTGTAATTTTCTCTTTCCGTCATGCAATATGAGTGGCGCTGTTCCATTTTTCTAAATGGTTTCCATTTTACAATTTTTTTTATTTTTAATTGTAGATATGTTTTCACGAGAGCTTTGATGACTGCATCTATTTTCACCGAGTGAAATTCCTTTTCATAGTCTCCAAATGCCACGCATAATGGAATTGGATGTACATTTTTTCTCCCAACGTCTGATTGATAGTGTGTATGTACAGTCATTGGTATAAAAAAAAAGCTTTTCTAAACCCAGACTGCTCAAATGGTTACTTAGCCTCTGCTTCCCTTCTTTTCCCAGTGAGTTTTGTGAACAATTTCATACATACAAGATAAAAGTATAATGAGATTGTAAGTCAAGCCAATTTTCTCACCCCTTTTGGCAATAACATTATGGTTGAAGCATCATTCTATGGTTGAGGTATTTCACTTTCTGTACAAACATTTTGTGAAATAGGTCCACTAATTCTATTCCAACAAATGGTTCCACTTATTTGAAAATAAGCATAAATGGGGAGAGTATTAACCATCTCCGATTTGCCGATGACACGGTTGTAATCGCAAAGGGAAGTGCACTGCAGGATATGACTGGAGACATGAATGCACAATGCTGCAAAGTTGGGCTAAAGATTAATCTGGGCAAAACCTGGATAGCAAAGTTTAATCAACAATGGTCGCTATCTATTAGAGGAAGGGACTCGAATGGGAAACAGAGTGTGGGTAAATTGAGATCAGTAATTGAAATCAACAGGACAAGAGCAGGTTGCGATGCTCATCGAAAATTGAAATGAATTATAAATAGCAACACGCATACGTGGATGAAAGCAAAGTTTCTAATCAGTATATGGACATGGATCATACACATGGATATTGACAAAGGATATTGAAGAAATGCTGGAAAAAATACATAAAAGCACAGAGAAATGCATACTTGGAATTACACTGATATACACGGGGACACGGATTGAAGTCTACCCAATTTAGAGGCATCATATTGATGGTCAGGAAAAGTAAGTGGCCGTGGGCAGGACACTTTTCCA